TTAAAACGGGAAAAACTGGCGCGTGAATCAACAACAAAAAGAGAAACACACCACCTATTCAAAATTGTTTTAATTGAGAGAAATTATGCAAATAATAAATAAATTGCGTCATACAAAACAGCAGCAGCCATAGTAGCAAGTCTAACAGACATGACACACAGAGGATAAGTGTACTGCGTTACTAAGGAACAATACCAGGAATACAACCAACTAACAAACTTACGGAATTATGGATTTCAAGTGCTAAATGGACCTTGAAGTTGGTTGAACTTCATGTAGCAGGTTGGCCCCACTTGGGAATTTTTCAAAGTTGTCTTCAGTGCAAAATCCAATCTAACAATTTGTTTGAAGAGAGATACATCCAGGGGTGATTCCAAGACCAGATCCTGCTGTTAATAAGGAACTTGTAGTAACGTCACATGCAGTTAAGACAGAATAATGGCTCATTTGAGACATGTTTCTCTTAGAACAATTTTTAACTGACGTCACCGCACAATTGTTACCGAGTTGACAGACGTTGGGAACTTTCCTCGCCGTCTGCTCTTGTACAATGATGGTGGAGGGCAGTTCTCCTTGAGATGGAATTCCCTAGTGTCATGCCCTTTTATTTTGACGTGTTAGGATTGTTGAAACTAGTGGTTTATTGGGGGTAGGTGGCGGCTTTGTTGTAGTGGAGTCACTGAGAGGGAAGGTCAAAAATTTTGTCCAAAAATAAGTGTGATTATAGAATAATCTTTATACTGTGGTCCATCGACGTGGTATCGTCAGAAATCCACTGAATGCTTACAATGCTCTCATTAAATCTGTGTAATATTACCTGTGAGATGTACAGTTGGTGGATAGGCTTTGAGTGGTCACTTAAGGAACAAGCGCAATGGGCTGAACAGGCGTTTCTTCTTCCTGACTTCACGATGTTCTAATAAAATCAAAATGAAGTTGATGATATGAACCCCAACAGTGTGAAGTGCTGCACTACTTTTGTAGCCACCTTCCGAATGGATCGTAGCTGTCATTTATAATTTATTCATAATATAATAATGAATATGGGAAATGAACAATTATGGGTTTTACAGAGCTTAAGATCATTTATATGAGGACATCACTGCTTCTCTGGTTGCCAACACACTTGGCCATCAGTACCCAAAAGAATTTCAGCTGTTCACATGTATGACATGTTGTGTGAACCTGATCATGCTTTAATTTGTCAGTCTGTTTTCATGCACAATTAGATCCCGTTTCAAGTCTTTGCTGAAGGCTAAATGTATTTAGAAGAAATAGTTGTATCTTTGCCCAAACTGTTCTTCTTTGAACATTGAACATAGGACCTTCTGGTCTTGTACAGCTTTGTACTATGCCCTTACTCACTCGATCATTAGGGGAGCTCATTAATTCTGTCATATTTTAAGTTACAACACTGAATTCAAACAAACCTTTCGCATTGAATAAAAATAACACATCTTGACGTTTAAAAGGTAACTATTTTCATAACCTCTGATTAGATAAGTCTTCTGAAAAGGGTAGCATTCTTTGCCATACACCAACTGCACAGACAACAGTAAAGATATCATTGAAATATAAATTGTTGAGAGGCTAAGTTTAGCACAGTCTGACCATCAACTCTTTTGGCACAAACTCAGTTGATTTTTTAAATCTCATTTATGCACAATTGAGCAGAAGATTATGGTCTTTTAAAATTTTTTCCGTATAGTATTGGCCACAGACTTAAGTATACATTATGTACCTCAGTATATACACACGGAAACACTACTTCAGTGAGTGAGTGGTAAAGATATGGAACAGGCTCCCTAGGGAAGACAGTGGAAGCAGAAAGTGTTGATTCTTTCAAGAACAAATCCGTTAGAAAACAACATCTCGAGCTACAATATATAGTTTAGGACACGACATTTCAAACGACTGCCAGGATAGTGGAAGGCGAACTAGATGGACCTTGAACCTTTCACCTTGCCATTTCTTATTTTATGTTCTTAATAAGCACGAGAAGGGAACTATATAATACGATAGATATTAAACCAGATATTAATACACATTATGTAGAGCCTGAAGAGTGTACCAGAACCTAATCGATATTGTTATCACACGGATTCCATGTCGACAGGTAGCATCTTAATAGGTAGTCACCTTACAAGCCAGCAAAGAAAGGACTTTGAAACCAGCATTACTTGGTAGAGGCACAGACAACATTGTTTTAGGTGCCGATGTAGATTTGATGCCCTATTTGTACTACTTGGGGTAATCTCAAATCACTTTCAGCAGCAAACTGATTCACAGCCGGATACACAGCATTAATAGCTTCTACTTGCCTTGGGGACTCGAAAATTTTACGAATGTGCACGTGAAGGGATTCGCTAAATTGCAGGTTATTTAAAATTGCTCAGTACCAATGCTTTCATTGAAAAGCTTAAGAACATTTAAGGGTCCATTTTAGAGTGCAGACCAAATTGACCTAGAGTTTTCGTATTTATACTGCAGTCACTGCAATCGCTTCCTCGTGAAGCCAACTTCTGGTTTGGGCAGGTGTTCCTCAGCACAATTTACTTCTAACCACAAATCCAATTTAGGTTGTAGTTTGAGTGTCAATTACACATTGAATCTATTTGAAAAATTAGATATAAATACAGCATAATACCCAACAGTGATACATCCTACAACATGTTGTCAAAAGATTGGAGGGATCTTTTTAAACTCCTCTTACTCTTTCTCTGAAGTACCTTATCCTCCTGCTAAAAGGGAAAGTAATCTATCATTTAATTTGGAGACAAAATTAGGAAAACTAGGAATTACTATAAAAGTAATTTCAAAGAAAATCTAGCATTCAGTGGGAATCGGTGGATGCCAGTATTATTTGATGTTCATTTTTCTTAAGAAGATTTGTCCAAATGTTAAGTGTGTAGTGGCTGATTTTTCATACCAACTGCGATGGATCCCTTTTACCTATGACAGTGGGTTGGTTTTCTACAAACTACCCTAACAGACGTCCAGACACGCCAGCAATTTATACTTTTGTCTTTTATATCTTTTTTAGTATCCACAAAGGATTGTTTGAAGCAGTGGGAAACTGGCATGCAAATTGATCCACTACTTGAGACAATGAGTCGATTTACTTTCTGCCATTAGCAATGTTATCTTTATTACCGTGGAACAGCCGATTTTAAGATTAACATTTTAAGATTAACTGACCACGTCCATCCCTAGTCGAAGGAGACACATCTACATCCAAAACGTTTCTGCGCATAAGGTAAATATCAACTAAGATAAAATCCTGCTTTGAACGAACATTTTCAGACTATGACTTTTATGACTGTCCAGTGCCTTGTGATGTCCTCCCAACGTGAAAGGTGCTATACAAATGTAATCTTGTTGCTGTTGTTTCACTTAACGGCTATTTTAGATTGGAATTCCTGCCCTCCTTCCCACAATAACCGAACACATCATTGTGCGATAGAGCTTTCCTGGTTGTTAATAATCGTGTCATTAACACTTCTAATCAGTTACCATGAGGGAAAGAAGACAATGAAAGGCTATGTTAATGTTCAAAATCTTGGAGGTACCCATTCCCACTCAAGTGCTTTAATAAAACAATTGGTGCAACATCCTTTAACTATCACTAGATGTCTCTGACACACAGTGAGAATTTTCAACATAATATTTACAAAGAGACTAAGTGAACTAAGTCTAGTGACAAAAAAAATAGATTCTATACTAACTTCTTCAATTGTATAGTTATTGCAACAAAAAGAAACCTAGGGAGATATTTTAAAATCAATTCATACTTAAGATTGTTTTAATAGTTCCAATCTATGCTGTAACATTCCAAGGCCAAGTACTGTTAAAATAGTATATTGGCCCTGCATTGGATAAAACAATGCATAGTACTGAAGAACTGTGACAGTACATACATCTGTGATGTACTCAAGTTTGCCATGGGCAGATCTCAATCTTTCAATCTCCGCTCAAATACATTTCATATTTCAATGGAATTTCATAAAGGGGTACAAATTCAGCTGTACAAAAATGTATCTTAAAAATACACATTCATATACATATTGCTAGCAAAACATTTACCAATCATTTCCTTTTAAAAAGTACCAAATAAAATTATTGAAAAAATAAAAACGCAGAGACGCAGACGTATTTAATCAAAGCAATATTCATATGGCTTGAGAGTGCATTCAAGGTGTGCTGGGTAGAGTTCCCTTCATTGACAGTACGACAGTGGCAATTAAACATCTTCCAAACTCTTCACATGGTACTATCAGAGGATAATTCTCCTATATAAAAATAAACCAAAAGTGTTCTCCAGTTTCCACATGTTTTTTTTCCATAACATATTCAAAGCATCTGTCCCGGTCTTTTTCTCTATGGACCAATACCAAATGTAGCAACCCCAACCCGCAAAGTTAAACACAGAATGTATTAAACAGCACAAATACCTAGCATCATCCATCATCCAACTGCCCCAGAACATTAATATTTTTCAGAAATGCTGTAAAGGAATAATTTTCCAATGCTATTTTTACTGCAACGATGAGATGTCATTAGAAATCTCTTAACTTAAATCAGATTGTAATTTGGTTTCAACTCAATAGTGCTACACTGAAGGTGAAAGATCATAAACCCTTATAGCAAGTTTCTCTTTGCACAAAATGGTCAAAACTTCTGTTGTATGTCGTCAGCTCTGAAGAAGAAATGTAATGTGCTTCCTCCGAATTTACAAATGTCTAAAAACAAAATACTGTATCTTGGGATTCTTTTAAAAAAAGATATGTGTACATGATATTAGGAAATTAATAAGTAACGGTCATTATCAAAGTATACTATAAAGTTTACATAAAATCAATAAACATGATAAAATATAAAAATAGGGATAAAATATATAACAGAGCAAAATGCTTTATATATTGTAATAAATACATTTTGGTCTTCAGGTTCTGTTTGAACAATTCTCATTATACTCAAGATCTTAGTGCAAAATGTGCTTTAAATGCACTTCATTGACAACGTTGCAATACAACGTGCATTCAGTAATGTGCACTATTACAGTTAAGAGTTCATTTACTTCAATGAGTTCAATGAGCTACTTCATTATTTAGAAAAGCAAGCTGATGAAAATAATTTGAAAAGTGTAAACAAACCACAATACAAAATTACCTAAATACATTTGTTTAAATAAAAAAATTGCAAAAAAGTGGTTTAGTGGTTAATTACATATTAAATTGTAAGTTCGGCTTTCTAAACATGACACGGAGGGTCTTCAAATGTAACAATAATGTTTTACTTCATCAAAAAGTGTCCAATCTGTTAGCAAAATGCTTCGGAATTCTTGGAGCAAGTTCCAGTAGTTTTTTGTCCTAAAAAAATCAATTAACATTATACTGTACTCCAGTGAATAAAATATGTTTGAGAAATTTGAACATTCTGGGGTCTCTAGCGAATTGGTCTATTAATACTTAATAAGTTAATATTGGTGAACTTGTGGATGGATGGCCAGTGGTCATATGCTTTAGTAAAAAGCAATTGAATTAGTTTGTGAAGATCAGATCAAAACATCATTCATATGCTGAAAAACAACTTGGTGTTTCTAGATACACATGCAGTTGAATTACACGTCTTGTAAAATTCAAAGTTTAATAAATAAAATGGGAAGTCGTTTATTTAGAATAAGCTCATGTTTGAATGGAACAATGTTTGGTGAGAAGAGCCATTTTGAATTGGTTGAAAAATGCTAAACATGCAATTAGCAAAGTAATGATTATTTTTTGGCACCAGTGTCTCTGATCTGAGAGGAAATCACATGTAAAGTTAAGTACAAATCCAATCGTGTGACGTAATTGTTCTCTTGTGCTTTATATTACACTCTAGGCTCCTTCCATACGAGGGATAGTCTCGGTTGGGCAGAACCTTTTCTGCAGCTGCTGCAGGTCTGTACGGCAAAGAGAACGCTTCAGGGATGTGAGGTACAAGTTCTGTCACTCTTCTACACTCTTCTCTCCTGAGCTGCCGCTCGCCACTGTCATAAAGTACTTCAGCTCGCTAACTTCAGCTCTGGTTGAGGAGTGTAGAGATCCAATATCAACAGAAGAACCAGAGAGACAAGAATTTTTTTTATCCAGAGAGTTGTTAGGATCTGGAATTCACTGCCTGAAAGGATGGTGGAAGCAGATTCAATAGTAGGTTTCAAAAGAGATTTGGATAGGTACTTGAAAAGGAAAAATTTACAGGCCTGTTGGGTACGAGCAGGAGGTGAGACTAGTTGGTAACTCCTTCAAAGAGTTACAGGCATGATGGGCCGAATGGTCTCCTTCTGTGTTGTAATATTCTATGATTCTATCATTCTAAATTGGAGAAACAAATCTGGGATCTCTGAATCGAAATAAAATCTAGAAACTGTGACTTGCTCAAACGTTTTTTTTAAAAAGTTTTACACTTAACTTAAATACTTAAGACAATTTTGGTGAAATGTTAAATGATTGTGGCTGATGGTCGGAGAAATATTCTACATTTAGCGGTCATTTCACTCACTCCAAGCATTCAGAGGGGAATACAAACCGAGGCAATCTAAGTGCAATCCCGACGTGAATTCCTGCTGCTTTAGAAAGAGAGACTAGATTGAGAGCTTTCGGTCTTTGAATTGAGATGAAGTTATCTTCTAGTTACTTCTAGCTACTGCAATATTTTCTGGACTCACATTAACTTTTTCTTTCATCCACCCTATTGTTTTTCAATAAACTATTGCCAAAGGAGTGGGACACCAATACAGAAGCATCAGAGCAGTGGAGTGCTGGTGGAAGTGCTGGTTTCACTTATTTTACAATAAGGTACCAAATATTTAACTTATTGTGAAAAGAGGCAATATAATGCTGCCTGAAATATGCCTTTTTGTAACCTCAGCATACCACCATGATCTTACAGCTTACAGCAGTTTGAGTTGATGGGGCGATATTCATAATGATGATAATCCTTGCATTTGATGCCTTCGGACATCCTCCTGACGTGAGATCCTTATACAAATGTCATTTTGTTGTTGTTGATATAATGCCTTATCACGTCATTGAGAACGTCTCAAAGCACTTCGCAGAATCAAAGTGAACTGACTGCATATTTTGTGGGTGAAACGTGGCACCGATTTGTGCAAAGCAGTATCCCACAAACAGTCGTGGATTGAGTGACCAAATTATTTTTTTTTAAGGGATCATTACCCCCAGAAAGTGATGTGCCAATCAACTAACAACCGGGTTCCTACTTACTGCTAGGTAAATAGAGGTGTGTGGAGTAAGGAAAAGATAAAAGATATACATCACACACAACCTCTGTATCAGTGCTATTTGTGGCCTGTAGGGTCAGTTTTGAGCAGTGCATCTATTTTTAACCACCAAGTGGCTGCCAGACAGTGTAATTTAATCCATTTCTTTCCCCTCCACCAAATCAGTTTTAGTGCTCTCCAAGGTGAGGAGTATTAGTAATAATTATAATAATACGTGCATTTGATGTAGCGCCTTATCACGTCGTTAAGATGTTTCAAAACGCTTCACAGAATACACAGTAAAGTGAATTTACTGTGTACTTTATGGGCAAAACATAGTGAAGTAAAAGAGAACATTGTTCTCAGCCTTTGGACTCTATTGGCATCAAGGGGCCAGGAGTGGAACATAGGTCTGAGGCAGATGTAGTGCCAGCTCCTCCAGCCCAACCATGTTCCCTAACCCCACAAAAAAGGCGGCTATTGCGGTCATCACTTTCCCTTTCCCACACCAGCCAATTGATGGCTTCTCTAAACCTCAATGCTGATTTAGTGCTTAATTATAGGCAATTTGCTGCTCTGGTCTGGTCTAGGCGGAGATTGCTCAAACCTTTCTAATTGGTTTATTGAGAGGAAGCTTTCATCCATTAGTCTGGACTATTTCAAAGCCAGCTACTCAGGGCAAAAAGACAACATTTTCTCATTCAAATGAATGGAAAGCAGATTTTAGAAGCATCACTAATCTGTTGATGGAACCAGATGACCTGGTGAAAAGGCACTTTTCAGGCAGCTTTGCTTTCAGATCTTCTCCATTAGCCCACTTTTTTTCCACATCTGGAATTGTGAGTCACTTTATTTGGCATATTGGTCCATTGAGTCAAGGAACATTTGAGGAATTGTCTCAATGCTGTGCATCTTTGAATATCAAACGAAAGAAGAAAACCCTGTCACAGGAGTCCGTGATCCCGAGGCAGGCTGCCCCGTGGGTGTGTAGGCACCTCCTGTACTCTGTGTTGTGATCACAGTAGGATAGAAGGGCTCCTGTTCGACATCTGTGCACTCCTCGTAAGTGTAGGCTGACGCTCTGGAAAGCCCCTTTGGCTGTCTTTTCCATGAATTGTAGTAGGTGGGATCACTCATATAATGGTTCACAAATGAGTGTGTACTTTTTGGCAATTCACCATCATAATCACTGTCGGTCGCCTGAAAAAGGAGTAAAGGTATTTTGTCACTTGTTTGGTTGCTCTTATTCTAAATTATTTTATTACTTTATTTTAGTTGGGCCTTCAGCCTCTCAGCCTGCACCCTGGGGAAATCCATCCCAGTCCCTTCGCCTCTCTCCCTCGCCTCCTTCAAGGCCAGTATCAACACCCTCCTCTTCGACCGTGCCTTAGGTCACCCACCCACCTCTACCTCCCTGCCCTCCGCCCTCCTGATCCCAATCCCTTGCTCAGGTCCAAAACCTTAACTGTCCAGCACCTTGGGACTTACTCCAGACATGAAAGGTGCTGTGTAAATGTAATTTGTTGTTATTATTGTTATCTCCCTCTATCTGTCCCTCTTAGTTTTCCAACATCACTCACCAATTCCTGGTCAAATGATGTGCTGGCAGATGTGATCTCCAGCCTCTGCCAGTGACATTACTTAACCAGCTGTTCGGAGATAATCCATTCAGCCTCTGAAGTGCCATATGACAGCACCATTGAGACAAGCAAGTCATGAGAATCCACAATCTACCCTTGTGTGCCCAGCATATTCAGTTTAAAAATACTCCCTTTTCTAAACATTGTCTTCTTCAAAAAAGCTTCTCAAAGATTTCTGTACCACTTATTCAATTCCAAAGCTATGATGTAGTGCTTGACCTGTACTTAAAGACACATGTACAAAACTGATATAGAGGTAATTACACCCCACTCCCTCCAGGCTATAGGAAACTTGTATGTCTTGGTGTGTAGTTGATGCCAGATAAAAGTGTGAGTTTTACTCATTCAATGGCAGACCAGTACAAGTAGGTCCCAGAGGCTACAGAAAATAAAGACAATCTGTAACTGAAGACTTTAACTGTGTGCTTACCTCTGACTCTGACATTTCCGTGGGTTTCTCTGTCAGAGTTGTGCTCTCTGTTAGTACAGCTCCATTGTAGTTATTACACAGATCCTCATCAGAATAGTGCAGTCCTCCTGGACTTGGTCGTGGTGGAAACCTAGAAAGATCAATCATTTCCAGACACAATGAAATCTGCTTTATCAATTGATTGTTGGTACTGACATTAGATGACCATCATAGATCAGTTGGTTTAAAAAACTGGTGTAATAATAGTAAAACTCGTACTGGTGTACAGAAAAACTCGCCTAAGTCTGATCTGTATAAACTGTATAATCGCCTAAGTCACACATCTGCGCAAGTCTCGTTCAAGACTTTATATTCTATGCAAGTTTGAGATAACTCATACTTTGCATAAGTCATATTAAATGTATGTATGGTTCCAACTGATATAATTTGTTTACTGTATATGCACACATAAACACACACAGACAGAACTGGGCATAATCAAATGTGAATAAAAATATGATTTGCTAATGTGACATACGTATACAGCAATTGAAAATGCACGGTGGTTATATTCATAACATTAAAGCACAAAGCATGTACAAAGTCCTGGTATGATCTGGTATCTGTCCTTACCTGGTGCCATTTTTCTTACAGAAAGAACTCTTGACAGTCAGGTGTCTACTATTCAGCTCTAGTGCTGTGAATCCTCCATTATCCAAGGTTAGTGTCTCTTCCACACTTGAAGTATTTTTACCTAAACAAATGAGGTCATACATTTGTGGTTCTTGTTATTACTCAGGTCCAAATTTATTGATTTTGTTCCTGTCTTTTCTACACTGATTAGTGAAAGATAGAATGCTGCCAAAAATAAAAATAAAGTTTCAGATAGCAATAATAAAGTAATAACAACCCTGCTTATTATTATGTGCAAGGAACACATTAATTAATCATTAATCCGTGACTGTTTGTGGGACACTGCTGTGCTCAATTGGCTGCCGAGTTTCACCCACAAAATATACAGTCAATTCATTTTACAATATATTCTGTGAAGCGCTTTGAAACATCTCAACGAGATGATAAAGCGCTATATCAAATGCAAGGATTATTATTGTTATTGTTAATTTATTGGGGAGGCTACATTTTAAATATTGTGTGTGGTTTGGGGAAAACTACCTTCATAAGCAGATTGACAAGATTGAGAATGACAATTCTAAGAGTGAAAACAAAGTTATGAGGAGAGAGTCACAGAACTGAACTATTTTAACGGAGAAACAATTATAATAATAATAATCCTTGCATTTGATATAGCGCTTTTCACGTCGGGAGGACGTCCCAAAGCGCTTCACAGAACACACTGTAAAGTGAATTGACTGTATATTTGTGGGCGAACGCGGCAGCCAATTGCGCACAGCAATGTCCCACAAACAGTCGTAGATTGAAAATGATCAATTTATTATTGTTTTTGGTTTTGGAGGGATTATTATTAGGCTCTGTGTGGAGTAAGGAAACTTGCCCAAGGTTTCGCCCTCTGCCTGGAATTGAACTCAGGTCTCTCGCTTGCAAAGCGAGTGCTCTAACCACTGAGCTACAGGACTCCACGAATGCCTACAAAGCACAGCAGGACGATATTTAACCCAAAATTTAGTCAAACATTTAGTCACCAGAAGTTCGAAAAAAAAGGTCCATCCCCTGCCTCCCCATCCCCCGGGGTAGTGACTTCCATCAGTAGTAGTGAAATGTTGATTACCTTCTTCCAAATATCTGATAACAGACAGGACAAAAGATTACAAAATAAGATGCAAATGATCAAATACTCTATTGACCACTGGTTCATGTCCTGACGGGACAATCGCAATCTCATTTGTGGAAAGGCACTGATCGGGGTTGAATAATATAGATTACAATGTCAAACTGACCACCACGATTCATTTCTTCAGGGAGAAATATCACAATCATTTATCTTCTCAGAATTTTCTCCCAGGAGATCAATAATTGAGTTTGAGCCTGTAACAGTGCAACCTATTCACAGTTGGAAAGAGCGGGTTTGTTGGGCTGTGTAAACCCTTACTTGTTTTGTGTCTTTTCACATTTGTATAACCTCACAGAGTACATTTGTATAAGATACAAATGTGCTCTCTGAGCCAGTGCAGGGTTGATGGGACAAATGGCCTCCTTCTGCACTGTAGGTTTCTATGTTTCTATAACTCCAATGAAACGTCTCATAAAAGTGTTAGCTGCTGGGAAGGCATGAGTAGACAGAAATTTTACAATATTTGCCAAATGTGGATCAAGATTTTTCTTGCAAAAACGCTATGCCATAAAGCAAGTCGCATATCAGTTTCATACAGTTCAAAGGAAAAACATTCTTGTTTTATTTACTGGAGGAGATCTTTTTAGACCAAGGAGAAATAAACATTGTTATAATAATCCTTGCATTTGACTTAGCATCTTATCATGCCTTATTGTTATTTTCTATATTATGTTAGGAGCATGAGATTTGAGCACATCAAGGTGTTCATTAACTGCCTCAATAACCTAATAATGCATGTCCAACATGACCTTCTATTTATATTTTTGTCAAATAAAATTGATGCCTACATTAAAATCCACAGCGCTCTCGTCCATATATTTCTGGATATCTGACCTGCGTTGTTGTTCTTGTACTTCTTGCTCTGCCCGTGTAGGACCAGTCCAAACACCATTAGCAGAATGAGAATCAGGCTGCAGAGAGCAATCACCACCAGGAACCACCACTCTTCGTAAAATGGAGGATTGGCCATCTGAGCTGCTGAAAAACCACAACAAAGTGCAAGTGACGCGCGAATATGCCACATCTACCCTACTTGCTCCATCATTTCAGAGGGATTATTCGTTCCTGCCCATCGTAGAGCCAAGGTTACACGTAAATAATTACACAATGTCAGCCTGTCACATACAAATCCAATGTCTCAAGCTAAGCTGAGAGAAACCGAGGGGGTAATTCTCTGCCTGTCTGAACGCTTACTGATAACATTGGATGAACCCATTTTCTTTTCTGCTAGTCAATTAATTTAGCGACAGTTATAGTGTCAGCTTCTAATGGGAAATCCACCAACGTCTATCAATTTAGCAAAAGGCAGAGAACTGACTCCTGGAGTGCACCCTTTGATGGATGGGCAGGCATATATTACATACAAGTATTCATGGACTCCAAACCTCTACTAGAAATGCAAATGAAGCTCAACCTACAAACATATAACATCCTAGTCTGGCTACACATTAGAAACTAGGAACACAGACTCTAGAGGCTGTGGCAGAGAGAGTACAGTCCCTCACATCCGGCCATAACGCATATTGGCAGAATCTGCTATGTAGTATCAAGATTCAATGCACAAAAAACCTCAGATGTGAGTGGAAATCTACATACATCTTCAGATCTTGCCAATCTCCAGATACACACATCAGGAAAAATGTGAAAAAATGGAATGGCAATGCAGCAGATCACCAATATTGTTTTATTCTTCCTGCTTTCGGGATCCAGCACCATTCATAATCCTTGGCCCAGATGGTGGGAGACAACCTGCTGACCAGCTCTATATGAACACTGCTCTCCACCTAGATGTTAAGAGATGGATAAGAGCATCCCAGCACAATTCACTCTCTATTTCTCCCTGTGGGGAAACCACCTGGGTTGCCAGCATATAGGATTTACTGGGTTTTAAATAACCATTTTGTTTTGGTCACAACCAGGTGTCTGACACAATGGGAAACAATTACCATGCTTAAGAGACTGCAAACCTGACAGAACTCCACATGTCATCCACTACATGGAAATTTCCCCATGTCTGGAATGAAGTGTGCACTCTCTCCCTGGTTGAGCGCACACTGCTCACCTAGTTCCGGAGAGTATGAGGTACAAGTTGGCAAGAGCCAAAGCTTGGGCGGCCCAGTGGATTAGGATACTACTGGAGTTTAACCAGCTATTAAAGAACTGGATAGCTTAATAATCAATCAATTACCTGATCTCACAATGGAGGGTGTGCTTGGCTCCCCATACCCAAACTTGTTGGCTGCAATAATCCGAAATTCATAACTCACTCCTTGCTTCAGTTGGTCTCGGCTGACTACGTGTGAAGTTGCAGCACCGGGAATATCCTTCACAAATGTATCCCACAGTCCTTCATCTAACAAGGGAAACCAATCGTGAGAAGGTAGCTGAGAAACAGTGAAACAAAGATGCATATGCACATATATATTTTATTTCAGCGCATGTGTCATTGAGGGCCAGGATTTACTGTATTTTCAACACAGAATAAAAGAACTTCAGAAAAGGCACCAACATTGTTGCAGGTTTTTCAAGTATTTCAAGGTATTTCAAGTTACCGTGCACTCACCTGAAGGTCGGGCCTCGATGACATAGCCTGTTATTGGTCCAACTCCAGGGTCACCCTGTGCCCATCGAACAGTCAGGGCCGACGCTGTTTCAGTAATAGCAGGCTCCAGAGGGGGACCGGGAGAACCTGCGCAAAGCCAAACATTTGACAGATCTTCAGTTAGGGAAAGAATACATTTAGAATTATAAACACTTGAGCTTAAGAATGATGCATGGCTGTTTAAAGATTAACCAAAACTGAAAGATTTTCTCCCACAGAATACACAGTCAATCCACTTTACAGTATTGCCTGTGAAGCACTTTGAGACGTTGTGATAAGGTGCTATATCAAATGCAAGGATTATTATTATTAACCAGAAAGAATTTTAACGTTTCTCTGCCCAATCAAGTGGGCACATTGTCTAATCAGGAAAGAGATTTGTGAAGTTGACGTGCACTGTATTTTTAACTTCTTGAAATGACAAGTGATTGTAGACATTGAGGTGACACTGAATCCAAGGTGGAATCAATCAGTGAGAGCTGGCTATGACATGAAGACTTGATGTTCTCTGAAGGGAGGAACTTTCTTTGATCAACTGCGTTTAATGTATTTGAAGAGTGTTTGAAATTCAGTCGCAGTATTCTTTTAATTATACAAGTATTACTTTGAGATATTTCCGCCATAATCTCATTTCTCCAGACATGCCAAAATCCTAAACTCTTGTACCATTTAGACTGCTCTGTGCAGGTGGGAAAAGTCTAAATACACAAAGGACTGGCTGGATATTGACTGAATCAGAAATTGCCATGGCGACTGTCATATTTATGATGATAGCAGATCCTGAAGGGAACTACCAGTCACAGTACAAATGCTGTTCATCAGATTCCCTTGTGAATCCACGCCCAAGGGCTCCTCTGTTACACATTTGGAAGTAAGATCACAAGAAATTAAACCAGAAAAAATATTACGTGGTGTTATCGATCTCCTGTACGTCAATGAACTTCATTATGTGGCCTACAAATGTTTTACAATGATACACAACTATTTGTAGCTTTCTGTTTTATTCCGCAAATCTAAAGTGCATCATTCAAGAATGTTAAGGAACAAATGTTTTTTCTAGATTGAATTCTTCCCACACAGGGCTTCAACTGCATGGCCTGCGATTGAATGGGAGGTAAAATCAAAACAAATCTGAGGAAAAAGGTTCCCTCGGGAGACCGTGGAAGCAAAAACTGTTGATTCTTTCAAAAGCAAATTAGATAGATTTCTTTTAGGATGCAATATATACAGTCAATTCACTTTACAATATATTCTGTGAAGTGCTTGGAGACGTCTCGAAGATGTGATAAGGCGCTATAATCAAATGCAAGGATTATTATTATTGTTATATCTTAGGACACAGTATATAGTTTGGGACATGACATGTGCATGCGACTGCCAGGATGGTGGAAGGCAAACTGGATGGACTTTGGTCTTCTTTTGTCTAGCAATTCTTATGTTCATACCCCAACTAACAGGAGGTAGAAAAAAAGTGTGGGTGAGGACGGGCAGAATTTGACCTTTCGTTTTTTACCTTCCTTACTTTCATGAAGTGCCTGAACATCACTTGCCAGATACCCGACACATTGTCCAAGATTGGAAAATCCCTGCCTCTGAAACCAGTACCTGGGTAGCGTGACTTTACACAACACACTGATTAACAGTGCTGTATGATTTTGTAATGGATTCTTTTATGGAGAGAAAAATAGAATGAAATTATCTCCATACAAAGGGGAAAATCAACAGAAACTCTGTTCCCTTAGAGCATGATGTGAGGTGTGTCAACAAAGACTGCCCAAATTGACAGTGTGCAATAACAAACTCCTTTCTACCTCTTCATGTAAAATGGCAACTCCACCTGGGCGCTGTGGTGGCTGCTGTCAGTCTGGATTCACAATCAGAATGACGACTCTAAATCAATGGGCCGAACAGAGTATTTTGGGAATAATATGATATGAATAGGGCTGCAATTCAATAGCACTAAACTCAGTCATCTGGAGACGATATGAAATAATTCAATGAGACAGCAATGTGCACTTGCAGATGAATGAAACTCTGTCCCTTACCATCTTCTGGTCCAGCTGTAATATTGGCTTGTGTCTCAGGGCCAAAGGTGTAGGTTTTGGCATGGACATGGAAGCAGTAGGTAACTCCCTTAATAAGATCCCGAACCTTCAACCAACGCTGATTGTTGCCTCTAATATCCACAGTCACCACTTTACTCACACCTGGAGATAGAGAAAGAGAAGTAAGGAAACGGTACGAGAACCAATGCTGTGGAGGAATGGGAGCTCAAGCATTCATAACCTTGAATAAGTGCTGAGATGCTATATAAATGTAAGTTATTGTTGTATCTTTTGCTAATGAGCTCTGAAACAAACACTTGTGCTGCTTTTTAAATGGATTGATGAAACCATTACACGCAATAAAGCAGCTCGGTACCTCTGTGACCTGCTAACTCCACACCGACCTGTCCTGTCCCTTCTCCACGTCCCTGGCCCTGCTGACCCCACCATCGACAGTTGGGCCTTCAGCCTCTCCCTTTGGAACTTCATCCCATGGTCCCTTCGACCTCGCTCCCCACCTCCCTTGTTCAACTGCACCTTTGATCACTCTCTTATCCCCTACACTCCCTGCCCTCCGCCCTCTCCTAATCTCAACCCCCAGCTCGGGTTCAAATCCATGATTGTTCGGCGCTTTTGGACTTCCTCCCGATGTGAAAGGTGCTATACAAACAAAATTTGTTGTTATAGCATTTGGCCCATCTTTCAATGCACCCGATTGTTAGCTGATTGGCGGATCACTTTTCTGGGGGTAATAATCCCTTCAAAAATAAATAAATAATTGGTCAATTAATCCACGACCATTTGTGGGGCACTGCTGTGCGCAACAGGCTGCCGCGTTTCGCCCACAAAATATACAGTCAAGTCACTTTACAGTATATTCTGTGAAGCCCTTTCAGACGTCTCGAAGTAGTGATAAGGCGCTATATCAAATGCAAGGATTATTATTGATATCTACTGCACCTTGTACTGGTTCAAGTGGCTCATACACCAAGCGGTATCCCTCTAGTATTCCATTGGGCATGGCTGGCTCTCCCCAGGTCACATTCAATGTGGTAGTGGTGACCTCTGTGAATTGAAGGTAACTTGGAGCACTTGGAGCTGTTTTCATACATTCAGAAACACAAAGACAAAAAAACAAAAAAGAAAATCACTATATTAAGTGCTTCAATTTCAGACAGTCACAGCCCAATGTACATCTTACCATACCTAAGGCAATTTCTGAACAAACTAAACTCTGCATAGATAAATGCTAATTTACATGGAAACGGAAGTCTTATAAATTATTACTGGAACTGGAGGAGTTACTTCAGTTACCATATGCACAAAGCCTGCTACGAAAGGCTCACTATGGCGAAAGGTGGAATATTGAAACAATTTTTGGACGTTAGAGATGGGTGGGGAGCTCAGTGGTTGAATCTAATTTACCATATTGTGTATCAGTGTCAGTGTAGATTGGAATAGGAATCTTGAAGAGTTGGTTGCAATCAAGCATCTATGCTGATTGTGTTAAAGGTAGCAGCAAAACTAATCTGGGCATAGAGCTAATCATTTGACCTGTTAGTCAGTTGGCACCTAAAACACTAGAGACCTTGAGTCTGAACAGGCTCATGACTGCTGCTGGAGGAGGTTGTGTGAATGCTAGGAGCGCTATGAGACCCTTCACTGATCAGATGAGTTGGAAAGGAATGTTGATTGACTGGAATGCCACTTTAAATACTTGTGCAGTGAATAAAATTACTGCAAAAAAGACCTTCTGCTGAATTTGGAAATGGCTTTTCTGGCTGTATTTTACAGAAACTACATTCTTTGCTCCCCCAAACTTTCCCTCCTGCCATTATGTCCCCAAATTATGGACCTCTCTTCCTCTATCCCTCCACCTTGCCCTTCCCCTTGCTCATGAAGACTTCCTCTTCCAACCAAGCCTATGATCACCTCCCCCTCCCCAGTGTCCTGTTCCTTCACCGTCAAGCACTTTCGGACGCTACACTATGTTAGGGGCGCTGAGTAAATGAAAGTTGTTGTTGTTGAAAACCAACAGGACAAACAAAAGTGTTGATTCTGATATCAAGCTTGCAGAGAAAAATAATCTAAAATATACAAGATCATTGTAGCAGAAGTAAAATGTAAATGGTTTTACCATTCTCACTGCTTGGTCCCTCGTTGAAATCACTGACAGAATAACAGACGTAACTATTCAGAAATTTGCATGATGATTTAATGGATCCTCCCATTAATCTAGCTACTGACGAATGACCCTGTTTTAAAATACGCCAGCTAGCTAAAATTCAATTTATGTAACTGATTCAATGTTGACAATTGGTTTACTGAAAGCAGGATAATACAGCCTCGAAATGTGAACTGGTATTCAATGGCCTCATGTATTTTAATGAGAAAACTCTACAGAAAGGATGCAACATTGTGCACAACAAATGGTAACCAGATATTACTGTAGAGCCGTGGTTTTATTTAGAAAAGAAACCTAACTCCTTAACCTTTCAGTCACAAGAGTAGTAAAACTAGTTTCTTCAGGCCTCTGATGGGTGGCAAAGCTTAATGGAATCTCAATTGACACAAACAGGCTTATTTCAGTACATTTCTCACATGTTGGGTTCTCCAAAATCAGCTCCTGCCTGTGGATCGATGAATGGAGCAGGAGGAGCAAGAAACTATTTTTTTTTGTCACCCTAGGTCTGAAACCATTCTGAAGAATATCCAACCCCTCCAGACCGTGAGTTCCACATATGTATGCCACGAGAAACAAACTACAAATATAAATGTATTGGTTGATGTGCAGTAGTTTAGGCTATTGGTAAGTAAGATGCTTCATCTCCTTTTGGTTAAGATGTCAGGCTTTAATTTGGAAAATGATTAAAACATTACAACATAATGACTTAACCAGTTTAACAATTCGGCAATGCAAGAAAAATAAACAAAAGGAGGGAGACTGCCCTGCTGTCTGCAGACTGCGGCAAAACTTGCTGTGTGCCCCCAAGGTAGGAATAGAGGCAGAATTGATTCAGCTTTCTAATTTGATCACTGATGCCTCTCCTATTGAAAATCTGATTCCAAAGCAGCCAATAACATGCACAAGTCCCCTGCTCTGGAAAAGATTCAATTCAAACTCTTGATTCTAGAGACAGTCAGAGAAGCTGGAAGGGCTGGGTTGTGTTATATAAGAACCCTGAGACCTTGCAGGTAGCCAGTGTTTTACAGGGCGGTACATTCTGTAGCCTTTGTCCTAAGGTACAAAAATCCAAATGAAATCAAAGAATGGAGTCACCCGAGCCAGTCTGCTCCGGCGTTACTAATAGAATATAAAAAAAATTGCAGATAAGGCGCTTTGACACAGCCCTTTTGAAAAGTAAATGGATCTTCATAATCCGCTTATATATTATCCTATTGTTACTGATCTCCATGTGAATGTACCTTGTGGATGTTTTTTTCTGTGCTGGGAGGGTTGTGAGGAGGCAGACTTACACATCACCAATGTAGTTAACATGTTCAGTCGGTTGAGCACCAATCTTAGGACTAGAGGGTCCTGGGTTCAAATTCTGGTGTGGTCAACCCTTTAATAAAATGAGCAATCTGCCTAAAAATATCCTGCTGGGGAGAACAGGTAAGATGGAACTTCCTGGGAATGAGCTGGCAAGTGCACAACATAATGCCAAGCAGGTCTGCAGTAATCCAAGCCAGATGTGGAAGTACAGACTTGTCCTCAGTCCCACAAACCAAAGTTTGAAAGAGTAGTGAAGTCTAAACCAGACAAGTATCAGGCCGTGCAGCTAAAGTTCTTGAGCGCTAAAAGAACTTTAGGAAGGAAGGAAGGGTGGAGATGCACAAAAATATTCCTCCCCTGAGGCAACGTGATCTGTGACACGATGAGATATCAAACATTCCAGTCAGGTAATTCTAAACCTCTTAATGACACTAGCAGACAACATGGAACTTTAACCCACAACTGAATAATCTGTAAAGAGTTACCAAAGAGCGACTGTTAAGAGGTTCACTTACCGGCCTGGTGTGTCCTGCCTTCAACAGGGTCACTCCTGGGTCCATCCCCAGCAGCGTTGAATGCTGACACACTGACCATGTACGCAGTATAGCTTATCAAGTTTTTCAGTCGAATGGTAGTCTCTGGAAGGAAGAGGATCTTCAGCTTCTGCGTTTGGTTCTGATTCTGAAGCTCCCAGTAATATAACTGTGGATGAAATACTTTCATGTCAAATTAATTACAAATATTTGAGAGATGACAGGAAGAATAAGAGACTTCGCCATGGCAGTTTCATTAAGGTAGAAATGCATGTCCTGCACAGATCAATAGTAAAGGCTGATAAACCGTTGTCCAGGGTGACATCATGCTGAGTTATATAGACCAGGAAAGTTGCAGGTTTGATCCCCAGTTTGAGCTGTGATAGCTGATCTTGGCCAGTACAGTAATATGTGCAATCCAATTGGCCTCAGTGTCCCTGGGCTAGGAAGAATTCCTATCTAGTAACTCCTGCTGGAAATTGCACATGTATGGATTATGAGTGCAGATAAGATTGAACCTCTCATGGTTATACCTCAAGTAATGAGAATTTGAACTGTATTTAACTATAATAATAAATAATCTTTGCATTCAATATAGCGCCTTAACAAGTCTTCAAGACGTCTCAAAGCCCTTCATAGCATATACTATAAAGCGCTGTGAGTGTGTATTTTATGGGCGAAATAAACTATACTGATCAGTACATTGTAGCAAACTGCACATAGCCCAGCATCTTGATTGCTTTGTTTATTGCTACTTGGACATGGTAATAATGTTAATTAGTGAAAACTTAGACTAGTCAACAACTCTAGGTCTCTTTTATTTTCATCCTTGCCAACTTCTATCCCATCTATTGAGTGTATGCTTACTTCCAGTAGGTGGCATCTTGCATTTATCTGTCACAAGCTTTATTTATCAGTGATCAGCTCAGGTGGAATCTAACTCTGAGTCTACGGTCAATCCCAAGTTGGGTGCCACCTGTAAATTTTATTGTATTAGCACTGTAGTAATCCAAGCCAGATGTGGGAATATAGACATGTCCTCAGCACTGTTTGAGAAGCATCTAAATGGAATGTTTGTGGCTCGTACAATTGGCTTTATAACAATACCTTGTAACCCTGAATGTTGCCATTCTGTGTCTCTGCTGGTGGAGGGTCCCAGGTAACTTCCAACTTGGTTGCAGTGAGAGGATTCACCACTACCTTCTGAGGGGGTCTTGTAGGAACTATAGGGAATAACAATATGGAGATTTAGTGCTGGTACAGGCATTTGACGACAACAACAAATAGCAACAAATTACATTTGAATAATGCCCTTCACGTCAGGAGGACGTCCCAAGATGCTGGGCAGTCAGGGATTTGGACCTGAGCAGGGGGTAGGGATTGGGGGGGCGGTGGAGGGGCAGGATGGGTAGAGGTAGGAGGGTGACCGAAGGTGTGGCTGAAGAGGAGAACAGAACAAAACAGAGTAAGCAAGAGGATATTCTGGCTCTCATTCACTCACCTGCTTCTCCCACATAGACTTCTTGAGGAGTGCTGGAAGGGCTCTCACCTATTACATTATATGCCGTCATTAGGATTTCATATCTTCTGTATTTCTTCAGTTCTGTAAAGACACATGAAAACCGTGTCCCATATATTTCTAGATTTTATCTTGAACACTTTTATCTAGGACATGTTATGGATAATGCTGGGGCGGACATTAGTACAACACTTATGCATGGATAATTATTATTATAATAAAAACAATTGCTAGAAAATGGCACTACATTTGCCAATAATTATTGGAAAGCACTTTGAGACACTCAACGTATAGGTGCTATAAAAATGCCAAAATAAATGCAAGTCATTAAGCAAATGTCATCAGAATCTGAGAGAATTCTGTACAGTTATGCTCTCATGGTCAGAATCCAGCTCATATAGACCAGACATATCAGGTCAGAAAAGACCTGGTGTGTTAACATTAATAATAATAATCCTTGCATTGGATATAGCACCTTATCAAGTCGTTAAGACGTCTCAATTCACTTCATAAAATATACTGTATATTCTATGAAGCGTGTTGAAACGTCTCAAGGCATGATAAAGCGCTTTATCAAATACAAGGATTGTGCATTTTGTGGGCGAAATGGGCTAATTGCACAGCAGGAAAGACAGCTTGATATCGTACTGCGAGCAAGTGGAAACACTCTCAAAAGCAAGCTGTGAATAGAAGGATGTTTGGATAATGGTTTTACAGCAGGAGACATAAACTTAGCAGTGAAAATTCAAGATGTTTCCCTCCTTCCATTTAATTAATAGGTGCAAACTATTATTTATAATGCCTGCCAAGTTAAATGATCTATGTAGAAGCATGATCACATTATCATACAATAAAAATGATATCAAATCACGCTTCAACAAATTTCCTGGTTTTCTTGAACAGTAGCAGATGGCCGCAGATTATTTTTCAGGTAGGTAGCTTGCCTCTGGCTTTAATTTGGGAGGGAAGGATAGCAGGAAATTATAATGGTTCAAATTTACTTCTGAGCAGCAAATTTCATACCAAAGAAATCAATTAAATGCATCTTTGCAAACTACTGAAAGGAAATTACGTTTGCTTTACTGTTAGGAAAAAAAACTAAGTAAAAGGGAAAAAAAGTAGGAGGTTAGAGCCAATAGTAGAGAGAGAGAGACAGAGAGAGAGAGCTAGGAGGGAAAGAAAAACAAAAGGTATTGATACTGTAGCAACATAATTCCATTAATAATTGTTGAATTGATTAAAAAAGATAAGATCTGGCCTGCATCTTTTATTTGAAAGCAATATTTAAGGTAATGCAATGCAGCAAAGTATACTTAACCAAAAAGTGGCTTGAAAAGAGGTTGCAATGTATCTCAAACAATCGACCATGAAACTCGAGCCTAAGTGACTCCAAACGCTGCCAGTAAACCTGACACATCAAAGAAATCAGGGTGAACAGAGAATGCAAAGACAATATAAAGCTGTTTGTACACTTACGTGTTAGTTCGAATTTGGTTACTGTGGAGCTGCTCACTATCTTGAAGCTACTTTCAGCTATTGTGAGGTAAGCAAAACAAATAATGTTGCTTAGGGTCAGATAAATAGTGTCCACACAGATGCTAACGATTAAGAGAAGGCAGAGGTTCAACAAACAATGTATTAAAACATGACCAAGGTTTCCTCCAAAGCAATTTTTTTGACATTTCGGTGATCCTTTGAGATTGATGTAATACAGAAAAGTGACCAACAAATGGTCATTTAAGAACAACAAACATGAAACTGATTAAACACATAATTATTTCTTTCAATTATTGTTTATAGTGAATCAGGTCAAACAGTTAGTTTGAATGATTGACCATTCTGCTGAATCTGCCGCTGTCAATCAAATACTGTACATTTATTGAAAGCAACAGAAGGACGCTTGAGATGTAACCAAAGAGTGTCCTGAAAATGTATGTACAGTAAACACGTGCGCGTACGGGGCACATCGGGGCGCTTTCCAAAAGCGACAAGTACGCCTTATCAAGGTGTGCGCAGGCATGCATATGGATGTGGTGTACACAGGGGCGACTGTTTTAAAGGGAGCGTCCCATTTTGCTATATCTGCTACTGTTAATCAAATACTGTACATTTCATTTAATTAAGTAAATCCTGTGAAGCGCTTTGGGATGTCCTCCCGACATGAAAGGCACTATAAAATGGTCGTTGAGACGTCTCAAAGCGCTTCAGGATATACTGCAAAGTGACTGTATATTTTATGGGTGAAATGCAGCAGTCAATTGCGCAACAGTAGGGTCCCACTAACAGTCGTCGATTGACTGACCAAATTAGTATTTATTACTTTTTTAAGGTAAATTATCCCCCAGAAATTGACTAACAACCGGGTTCCTATGTACTGCTAGGTAAGCAGAGGTGTGTGGAGAAAGCAAACTTGCCTACGGTTTTGCCCTGCCCAGGAATCAAGTTACCTGCTTCTTGTATTTTTAAGATTGAAAGACGATGCCTCAATTTCATTCATTGTTATACTTAACTTGTATCACCACCTAGTCTATTGACACTGAAATGCAACTGAGTATGAGGAAATAAATAGAGAAAAATATCGATAAACAATTACATATAGACAGATTTGGGCCAATATCGATTGCAAGATTTTTCCCCCCCAATATAGGCTCTTTTCACAATGTAAATAATCTGTAACCCAATTTTCCTTCATTAATGAGTTTCCTCAAATGTCAGAATTCGGAACTAATTATTGTAAATACAAATTAGAAATTCTAGATGAATCTGTGCATTTTCATTTGTTCTGCCAAAGAAATGTACTCAAAGGATTGACAAAGGCAATGCAATTTAATCCTTCGTTGGGCAAGTGACAGAGCTCACTCTTTGTTGTGCCTGAATTTCAGGCACAGAAAAACATTGATCATTGTACATTCACAGTCTCAGACCTCATAGAGTGGATTCCTCTGAATAGGTAACAGATCTGGTGGAATTTCTGTTGACTTTAGGTCCGCCACAGTTCAGGCAGAAATCCAATCTCAAACTATTCAAATAGATGTCAGATTTGCATCCTAATTTGTTGAACAGGAAACAACATTTGAAACGCTATATCTTGTGAATGCTCGAAATGTTGAAGTGTCTGGAACTCCTGGGCAGATAATAGAATGTATTTCACAGCTGAATCTAACACCCCGAGAAAGCTTCGCTCACTGCTTCCGACTGTGACATCTCGTTCTCTTGTGCAGGACACATTCCTGCTTTACCTTGGTGACTGTGTGGAAGTTATCTTACGAAATCTTCATCACAAGTAAAAAACCTTGAAACATAGCACAAGCAGTGTGTACACAACCATGCCAGGTTGGCGACGGCATCTGTCATCTGTATGAAATTTTACACGCCTCAATTTTTGTGAGGGATATGGGGCAAAAGCAGTAATTGGAGTTGAGATACAGATCGACCATGATTAATAGAATGGCGGAACAGGCTCGAGGAGCTGAATGGCCTCCTCCCTGTTCCTATTTCTGTGCACAAGTCAAGCTTCCGGTGTTGCTTTGCTGAGACAGACACTTGTTTTGTGCAATTTTGGACTTACATGCCCTGCTTGTCGGCCTTCCCAACTCCTCCGTCCACAGGCTGCAGGTAATCCAGAACTCTGCAGCCCATGTCCTCTCCCGCACCAAACTCTGTGACCCCATCTCCCCCATTCTCGCCCGACTCCACTGGTTTCCTATCCTTCAGAGGATCAAGTTCAAGATCCTGGTACTCATCTACAGGGCCCTCCATGGTCTCCTTCAAGTCCCACCTCAAGATCCCCTTCTTCGACCATGCCATCGGCCACCCCTCTTCCCCTCTCCTCCCTTTTCCCCCCCTGACCCCAGCTCGGGTCTGAAATGCTGTACACTGTCCAGCACTTTGGGACGTCCTCCCGATGTGAAAGGCGCTATACCAATGTAATCTTGTTGTTGTACACTCCTAACTTTTTCAGTTTATTTTCTCTTCCTCACTCCAATTAGGCCATGTGGTAATGTGGCTCATTTCATTGCTACAACAAAGCTACTCAGAAACTGCAAGCTGACAGGTAAATACTTACACACTCACGGTGTCTGCGATTGGGAACTTAGTGAATCAAGGGATTCAATGCACTTCAATGGTGATGTGCTGTGCACTGGTGCTCAAACAGGGCTCTGACTAACACTCCTGCTAAGGACAGCCTGGCGTTTGCAACCATCCATTACTAATATATACACAATGAAAACAACAGAAGGATGCTCGAGATGTAACCAAAGAGTGTTCTGAAAAAGTATGTACGGTAAACATGTGCGTGTAGGGTGCACATCAGGATGCCTCATCAGGGTGTGTGCAGGCGCGCACATGGATGTGGTGTCAAGGGGCAACTCCTGACTGTTTTAAAGGGAGCGTCCCAAAAAACGTGCTCACAAACCTATGTGTGGTGAAGGAATGTACCGTGAACTACGGAATGTATCGGGAGAAAAGGAAAAAATTGTAACAGAAGATGTTTGTTTGGATTTCTGTTGTATCAAGTATTATGTTTATAAAGAAATATATATTTTCAAAAAAAATACACATTGGAAGCAAGGACAGTGCTATGAAAAAATTCAGATCTACTTTGTAGGTGAACTACAGTGATCTCAAGCCAATATTGTGGAGGGCTGGGGGAAGGAAAAAGGTAAACTTCCCTCAAAGCCCGACTGACTGCTGGGCAAAGGCCTTCATTAACACTGTGGCTGGATTTCCCCATAAACATGGACAGTGTCAGCTTGTCTGAAGTGGTGGAGAGGGTGTTGTAGGAAGAAGCGCTTTGAGACATCTCAACAGCGTGCTAAGGTGCTATATCAAATGCAAGGATTGTTATTATTATCTGTGAGGAGTATTATTTACTCATATCACTCCTGACATTCAAATCTGGCAGTCTGTGAAGTTAAGGCATGTCTCAGCGAGCAGGGTCACATACATCATACAATGCCCTCATAATCCAGCTATTATACACCATGTAGCCAGTTTGGCTTCCCACCACCCTTCCCTCTGTGAGGGCACATTGGAGGTACGGTTTTGACAAATGATTTTTGAGTCGGATGGATAGAGGCAAAATAGCAGACTCCAATCACAATTAATGGTTTTCTATATTGCTGTGTGCTGTGTACATTTTTTAGCCTGTTGCAGAGTAGCAGAACACCACAATAATTGACAGTAATTGTGCAAACAATGACGGTAAGACTAAACTCTTAATCAGATGTTTTGTTAAGTTTGCCTGGGAGACTGGAGTCATTTAACTGGCATCCATTCAAGAACATTTCAAATACACCTTACCGTTTCATCCTTCCATTCAAAGAAAGGCCACAAGCAACATTAATCACTCAAATAACTTAAATACTAGACGGGCCATATCAAAAATACAGACACCTCAAAAGATGCCACGATGTATTCTATGGATGATTTGGTCTCAGATTGCATTCTTTTAAAAAAAAGTAACATTTGCATTTTTATTGCTCTGTCAAAGGAAACCTGACTAAATTGGGAGAACTGTGCAAAGCAAATAATCCAGCATTGAAGTCCTACCCGCTTTTAGAGAAGAAAAGGTTCTTCGAAAAAGTCATTCTGAATCAAATCAAAGCTGGCCGGACCTGTTCTCTGCTGTTACTTACGGGCTAGGTCTGTCTGCAGGGCAGCAGGGTCGCTGAATCCTGGCATGTTCTCATACACAAGCTCTCGATAGTAAATGCGGAAACCCACCAGCATGCCATTCAAACTTTCTTCCTTTGGTGGCTGGGGGAGAGAAAAGAAGGAAAACTAAAGTCACTTGCATCACATTAGATCACCAGGTGCTATTGTAGAAATCACGGCAATAGACTGTGAACCCTGTGGTCAGAGAACAACAACATCAACATATTACATTTGTCTAGGCCTTTTGCGTTGGGAGGACAACCCGAGGCCCTGGACAGTCAGGGATTGGACCTGAGCAGGGGGTTGGGATCAGGAGGGTTGCAGGGCAGGGAGGGTAGGGGTAGGAGGGTGACTGAAGGTGCCCAAGGGCGAGAAGAAAACTATTACGAAACTAATCTTTTATTTTGGCCTCACAATAATAAAGCAGTGTATTGTATTGAGCCAGGATTCCCAGCTGGAAGGTGTGTGGGTGTGGGTGTGTGAGAGAGCATAATAGTGAGCTACTGGTGCAGTGCCCATTGAAGTGTAGAAAGAAAGATGAGACAGCAGCTTTCGGGAACAACAACCACTTGCATTTATATAGCACCGCTCAAGCATGATAGCATCCCAGAGCGCTTGACAAAGGACGACACAGTGCCAGGGGGAGGTGACCGTAGGCACAGTCAAAGTGGAAGATCTTCAGGTGTGAACTGAAGATGGGGAAGGAGGGGGCAAGGTGGAGGGGTAGAGGAAGAGTGTTCCAGAGTTTCGGGAACGTAGTGGCTGAAAGCACAGCCACCGATGGTGGAACGGAGGGCATGAGGGACAAGCAGGAGGGCGGAGCCAGTCGAGCGGAAGCAAGCGAAAGTGAGTTTGGGAATAAGCAGGTCAGAGAGGTAGGAAGGTGCCAGGGCATAAAAGGATTTGAAGTCGAGTGTGAGGATCTTGAAATCAACAGGATTTCAAACAGGAGTGGAGGAGGTGAGAAAAAGAATAATCTCCAGATGTTCAGGCAGAGCTAATGCAGCTCAAACATGTGCTACTGTATTAGAATACCAAACAGTAGGATTAATCTTCTTACTGCAACTTAAATTTCTCTTACAAACAAAGAAAGCATCTTGAAATACATCATAAAAGATAGAAAAAATTGTCGTCTTAAAAGCAGTACAATGTAGCAAATAAATTAGAAAATTATTAAACTATCTTTCCCCCAGTGTCTAGTCTTAAGTATGACAAGTTTTCTAGAGTTTCTATAACATTAGTAATTTAATTTTTTTCATAAAAAATGCAATAAAATGCAATGAACTATCACTTTTTCGCCAACTTCTCAGTGTACAATGATTTGATTGCAAGTTCAGGACTTACCTGCCACTGAATAAGGACAGAGGTAGTGGTGCGTGGAGTCACAGAGACAATAAGAGGTGGCTCACTGGGAACTGAAAAACACAAATGCAAGTAAAATAAACTGAAACACACATTACTTTTACTCAGTACTGCATTTATTTATTTTTGTTAGGTCAAGATATCTATGGGATATGGAGCAAAGGCGTAATCGGATAGTTGAAGTATAGATCAGCAATGATCTAATAGAATGATGGAACAGGCTTGAGGTCCTGTTGCCTTCTGCCTTTGCCTAGCTCACACTTTGATACATTTGCTCTTCTCTTCCAGAACAGTGAGCTTCATAAGTCAATATTGTGAACCAATCATTGTTTTTAAAGAGGTTGAATCACTGCAATTACAAACCTTAGCCTAGATATTAAAGGGACACCTATCTTTGAAAAAGTATTTTATAAACAAATGACGGTTTGCCATCATGTAGCAAAGACGTAATCACATCTGCAAGTTGAAGGCTATCACTGTATCTAATCTCATCCTGATGAAATGAACCATATCTTATTAAAACTGAAAAAGAAATCTGGCAAATATTTCTTCATGAATACTCTGCGCTTTTTATATATTTTTTCTCTGTTCATTTCTGCGATTTTAACAATGTGTTTGGTAAATAGTGAATACAGATAAAGGAAAATGGCTGGGAGGAGTGTGACAGACTTTAAAGAAATGATGAAATGATGTGTACAGTTGTGTATGTTAACCTTGGAAGTTACTGGCTGGACCCAGTAACCTCCAAACCAATCACCCTGATGTTACTGAAAAACAATTCCTTCTCAACCAAAATAGCGAGGCAGAAAACAGATAATTATAATCATTTGTTTCTTCTATATAAAGGCTTACAGATTGCGAGCCTGCCATTTTAAATGTAGAAGAGATTGATGTGAACTCTCATTAGTTGATATGCTTCGGAAGGATGGAAGAAACTGCATCTGAGTCGACATAAAATGGGTTAGCAGTCAGTGGAGGGATTATCAGGATTGATAAGCGTATCAGTGAATGGGACTGGTAACCTTTTCGAAAGTGTCTGGCAACCTCAGCTTTAGAGGGGGTGTCGGGATTGGGGAGGGTGGAGAGCAAGGGGGGAAGGAGGGTGATCGAAGGCAGGGTCGAAGAGGGTCTTGAAATGGGTCTTGAAGGAAGACTATCACTGAAAGTAAAGCCCTTCACCTTTATTTATTTACCACACTATAATATTATCATTTCTAACTTTTAAACAGGGCATGAATATTCTGTTCCTTGCTATCTTTCTCCTTTACCCTATTCTCTTTATTACCCTATTCAAGTCTCTTGGCCCCCATTTTCTCCATCTCTCAGGTTTTCTCATCTGGCTTTGAGAGTTGCAGTTGGCATTTTGTATTTTTTTTCTCTCTCAAGCTTCTCAGCAAGACAAAATACGAGATTGTTATGAAGAGACCAACATGCACGGCACAAGTGACAGTCTCCATTAACCTTCCCTAGTTAGGTATAGAGTTCTTTTTATTATTTGCTATAATTTGAGCCTTTGAATTAAATTAAACGTTGTACATCAGGAATATAAATTAATATAATAAATTAATTAATATAAATATAATCTGGGCTATTGGCTGCTGCGTTTCATCCACAAAATACACAGTCACTACACTTTACAGTATATCAGTATATTCTGTGAAGCACTTTAAAACTTCTTGAAGACCTTATAAGGGGCTATATTAAATGCAAGTACTATTATTATTATAAAGGAGAAGTTGGAGATCACTTTCAGCAACTAAAAGCTATACAACAAAACGTATGAGAGAATTTCAGAACTGTAAGTGAGTGGTTTAGCACCAACATAGATAGATTGGGAGTTTAATCTAAGGATGTTGCAGATAAATACAACACACTGAAATGTAATACCGTAACATATCCTACCATCTTGCAGAGTGGTGACGGGCTCAGTCTCTGTGCTAAAAGCGCTGTCTCCAATATCATTAGTCGCCATCATTCGCAGCTGGTAGGAGGTGTAAGGCTTTAAACTGTGTCAAAAGTGAACATCAAACATTTCATCACTTAACAAACAACTATCCATTTACTACAATTCTGTACATTCTTCCAGTCTTTAAAGGGATTAAAGGTCAGCAGCAGTAGCATTGAGATCTCAGTGCCAGACATGCATTTTGTCGTGCTTTGAACCCGACGAGGTGCAGCTCGTATGAAGTTATCAGCGCAAAACTAACACGTGGAAATAGGAGAAAAATAAGCGACCGAACACATTATATATTACATAAGTGAAGCGCTTTGAGACATCTTGATAAGACTCTATATCAAATGCAAAGATTATTATTATTATTACCGTTCAATCATGCAAGATGCAGTTTCATGGCTAATTGAAGATGTGTGTGTTTGCCATTCGGTGCTGGGTAGTTCCTTTGTCTGCACCGTGAAATAACGGACAGGTGAGGAGCCATCACTGCCTGGCTTCCATTGCAACAGTAAACTGCGAGCACGGACTTCGGACTGAGAGACTGAAATGTTGGTGGGGGGCTGTGGCCTGTCTGCAAAATAGAATGAGACATTTTCAAACCAGTTTACAATATTCTTGCTGCAAGAGGATGTTCCAAACTTCCACTCCTGAATCTGTATCACGTTAAAATGCTTGAGAATGATTCACACCAGAATCTCTGCAACAACAAACAAAATTACATTTGTAAAGCGCCCTTTACGTCAGGAGGACGTCCCAAGGCGCTGAACAGTCAGGGGTCAGGACCCGAGCGTAGGGGGCAGGGTTGGGATGAGGGAGGGCAGAGAGGGTAGGAGAGCAGCTGAAAGCATGGTCAAAAAGGAGGGTCTTGATTCGTACTTTGAAGGAGGCAAGAGAGGGAGAGGGCGAAGGGATTGTGGGGATGGAGTTCCAAAGAGTGAGGGCACAGAGGCTGAAAGCCTGGCCGTCAATGGTAGAGCGGGTCAGGCGGGAGACCTGGAACAAACCGCAGTCTGCTGAGTGGAAGGAGCGGATTCCTTTACTCTAGGCAGAGTAAAGGAATATCCATTATTTTAATAAACAAAATTTGATTTAGTGTGATGTTGCCAATTAGATCTTACCCTATTTTTATAGATGAAAAATCACTTATCTCACCTTGATCGACACTGACCCATAGCACAGAACAGCTGGGGACACAAATGCAACCTTCTACTGAGATTCTTGAGGGCCCATAACAAAGAACCCAACGATTAGAGCTTCCAAACAAATCAATGAATTAAATTAGAATACCCAAAGGTAGTGTCCAAGAAAACCCTACAGAGATTCTTAAGATCATGCGCAAACAAGACAGAGAACAAATCAGACAGTGATGATAATTTACCCTTTGCCTTCACTGTGATTTTAAATGGGACAAAGTTCCATCTTAATAAGTTGGGCCGGTGCTGGGCTCCGCTGGACATACTCACAATAATAACACTGAACAGAAATTACAAAGAGATTCAGGGTTGGCTCCTGCTGATTTAGTTAACTGGAGTATGCCTCTCAATACTCAATACCTAGCGGTGACTAAAGGCATGGGCTCTCATATTGCAGCTCCCCTGGGTCATATGCTCTCATTGATTCTCATGGGCAGACTCCAGTGGGCAACGTACAATTTTAAAAGTTATCTTTGAAGCAATTGATTTTGTTTGAAATGCTGTACCAGTAATAAACAGGTTATCGATTGAATATGTGTAAAGGAACCTTCATTATGGTGCAGTGACCAAGTTTCGATGGGTCAGCACATATTTATCTCTCAATCTTTTCATCCAAGATTTAGTAAAGTACACAGCACAGCATTTTATCTTCTGTTTCTTTGCCAGTGATGATTTTATGTTGACTTCATTGGCCATCAAAACAAAGTTGGCCTTCACCAATGGCAAACACAATAATTTAGATCTAAACAGGTGCAGTTAAGACCCAACCTGTTGCCAAATTAACTCTCAATTAGAGCATCCAACAAAATCTCCCACCATGAGCTGGCAGGTAAAATGCGGTAATCTCTAACATTAATGAAGTGGTTATGACAAGCATAATAGCTCTAAATGTTAAGAATTGGACTGATAAACAGAGAACCCATCTTCGAATTTCATTGTTAACATATATTTAACTCATTATTGGCTGGGAGTGGATTGGGAGTTCACTCAATTATGTGTTGCCCAAAGGTCAGAGATTCTGTGGCACTGATTTGAAGGGAAAGCTAACAGTTCATAAAATGTGTAAGCGAGTTTCACAAACCAATGCCTCAGAATCCCAGAAATCCTGGGTCCTAAAATTCTTTTCTTCTAAGCCTTGAGACTATTGTCTAAAATTGTAAGATCATGTGGAACTTTGGGAAAATATCTTAAAATTCAAGGCTGAATTTGCACAATACCAAAAATAACCGGAATATCAACTTCTAAATTAAGATTTCAATCTGTTAATTCTAAATGCTGCACTATATTAAATTGTACACCAATGGTTTTAAAACCAAGAGCATAAGAGATCTCAGGGCCCATAATTCTACATTTTAACACCTTGAATACACACAATTGGCTTTTGGATTGGCATTGCTGGTGGCAAAGAAAATATCTTTGCAATAGCTTTAACTAACATCGAGGAAAAAAGAGTGAATCATGTTACAGTTGGAATCTTATTGCAACATTAATATGAAATGTAGGAACTGACCGGCCAGACACGATAAGGCAAATCAACAATAAGAGTGGCATCACAAGAACAATGTTATTGTTCTGATTTTAAAGGTTCAGGTCAGGAATATATAAGATAATGCAATGATAAATGTTGTTCCCATACTAGAATATTGGAGGTAGAAAAATATGGGACTTTCAAAGCTTGATATGAAATCATGAATTCCTACTGAATGACCATCAGTAAAATGTGAAGTGGAGCAATAGTTTCTGTATGGATTGACTTTTTTTTGGTTCCTTAGGCAGCAAATGCCATAATCATTTCAAGAATGAACTGAACTTCACAGGTAGAAGGATTCTTTTTTTTATCAAAAGGACAAAAGACAAATGTTTTTGATTTTCTGTGATATGATTTCTGTACAGATGCCCTTTCTTTTACTGATGAAAACAATCCTAACACTTGTAGCATTGCCTTCTCAAGCGAAGTAAAGCTGAGGTTCACTTGTCAGGGCTGTAAAATTTAGTTATTCAACCGTGAGAAGATTTTCACTGAGCGTAATTCTGACTGAATGTTCATATTCAGTAGCTTGTAAAATGTCACCTTTTGAGCTCCAGAAAAAGCCAATACAACGAAGACGCGAGGTCCTTCCACTGAATGTTTTTCTGAGATTGGGGGCGTGAATGGAAATGGTCAGGAGACAAAACAGGAAATTGTCTTTCCCAAGACACAAGCTGAACTGGAATGTCATGCATACATCAGTGCACACCAAACCGATGATGACTCAAGTGGTGAAACTCTGGTCAAGACATTTGGTTAAAATTGAGGCTGGCATTTTTCCAGCATGGGTTTGCTAGAAATGCAACTGAAGCGCACCTGAGAATAGTCATTTCTGGAAGTCACATTTTCACTGTCAATGATTAAGCTGAAGCAATATTGATGCAGTGCTGTTATATCAGACAGGCAATATCCAGTGAAACTGAAGCAGTTGAGTTCTGTTGATCAGCACGAGCGAACATCAATACAGATTCACCAGTGCCTAGTAGTTCTTAATCATAATTAGTGATCTATCCAGACCTATAAAAAACAGTTCTGTGGGCAAATGTAGGAACAATACACTTCAGTTGACACTCAGAGAGTAAACCGATGTTAACTAGGAGAACTCTTTGCTTCACAATGCTTCATTTAATTCTGATGAAATTAGCCTTTTAATGAAGATTAAGATGCTATTTCCATTGAGGATAGAAAGCACCACAGTACATATGAAACATATTGCAGCTTTAAAACTAATTGCATTCCATTTCTTTAGGGAAAGGGTGAATGCATTACTTTTGGGCAACACTTCATGTAGTCAACTGGCTGCCAAGGCCTTTAATGATATCAGATGGCTTTTCTAGAATGGTGCCATTTTTTCATTGCATTTCTAAACATGAGCCAACGTCTTAGTTGTATATAATTCTGCCATGAGTCAATATTCAGAGCATCTTTAGACAGTTCAGAATTGCTGCAATATTGCTCGACTCACCAGGCATTGTTCTGCCCCTTAAGCCACGTTTTTTATCTTCCTCAATCTGATGCTGTTGGTATGAATTTTATTTAGAATTTTTTTAAAAAATAGCCTGTGTAATTTCTTACCCCGCACCCTATTTTATGTTTAGTTCTGAATTTAAGTATTTTCTGCAATTCCGTGGTACCTTAAATTTTAAGGCAAAATAGTCGGGAGGAGGTGACCGTAAGCACAGTCGAAGAGGAAGGTCGTCAGGCCTGACCTGAAGATGAGGAAGGAGAGGGCATTCAGGGAGAGAATTCCAGAGTTTTGGATGAAAGTCCGGCCACCGATAGTGGATCGCAGGGCACAAGGGACAAGCGGGAGGACACAGAGCGTTAGCTCTCCTTACCTCTACTCTCTGTGGTGATCACGACAGCCTCTACTGATTCCCCCCAGCCCTGTCGAGTCTTAGCAAATACACGGAAAATGTACGGAGATTCAGGAAGCAGGTCTGTTGCAGAATACTGTCGGACGTTGGAACTGACTTCTGTGGTGGTGAATGTGTTTGGATCAGCAGATGCCAGTCGATAAGCTATCTGATAGCCTGAAAAATAACATAATTAGATAAGTGAGCTCAAAAGAGTAAACGGATTAGGAAAGAAGCTTGAAAAGTACTTTGTAGACTCACATCAGTAGATCTTGCATATTCTTATATGAAGTTGCTGCTTCATTTCAAGGGACCGTATATTCACTGGCTTTAATAAGTCGAGATTTAAATAGAAACCGCAAATTGCAATATTTGATGTGATTTCCATTTATATTATTATCCATTTATAGTAATTGCAGGCATATTACACTATAAAATAACTCAATCAAAGCTGATTTAAATTGTACACAATTGAAAGAAAACATGATATTCCCTCCCATGGCAGCTTAACCATGTTTTCTTTTCTCAAGGATGAGCAGGGCACTGACAAACAGTCAACAAAATTTGGTTCAGCAATAGGTGGACAACAGGAAATAATAAACAGATTAAAAGAGAATAGAAAAGGAAAAACTTAAAAACAAAGAAGCGAATATAAATTGATGAAACCTCATCTGACATACGAGCTTCTGGAGACTCCCCAATCAACATGTGGCATGCTTGCCCGACAGGCTGTCTGAAGCAGAATTAAAGGAGAGGAGCCCATATGTTCACAATTTTTTTCTGATTGAGATGGAATAAATACATGATCCAGTCTGACTGCGATACGCCACAGCACCTGGATGCTAAGGGCTGACAACCGCAGGAATGCTTGGCACCACATAATCAAGATGCACCTTCTGACCACACATAGGTCAATCTCCTCAAAATCCCATCTCAATTGCCTTGTCATTTTCATGAAGATGTGGGTTAAACTCATGTTTTACCTCTGCTTTTCAGCATAATCCAGAAAAAAGAAAATACAATGAATTGAAGAGACCTCTTGTACTCCAAAGATGATCAAGAGCATAACATGATCCGCATTTATTAAAGCTTTCAATGGATACTGAACAGTGGCGGAGTCAGGCTCCATCACTGTTAAGCCCTCTGAGACTCTACCCTGCGTGGAGGGCGCTATACAAGTGCAAGCTGTTTTTGTTGTTGACATGATTTCAATGGCCAAAAATGTCCTGATTTCTTTTTCTGATTTGGCCTCATTTTCGCAATCTCACATGAGAGGGTCAATGTGTCATACTGCTGCTGGTCTGTAGTTCTAGCTTCGATTATCCTCTACCCCCACCCTCTCTGCTCCATTCCTCCTGATCCCTACTCCGAGTGTCCAGCGCCTTGGAATGTCCTCCGATGTGAAAGGCGTTATACAGTTGTAATTTGTCGTTGAAGCTCATTCTTGGAGCAGTTAGGAAAGGCGATCCTTTGCAGGAGGCAAAACAAGTTTCACATCAGTGACTATCCAGAAGCTACCTTTTAATGTTCACTTCTGTCCAACAGGTCGCTTCAACAATTTGATCAGCCTTAATTAAACAACTCATCTGTTGTTCCAACAGAATTAAAACATCTAAAAAAGCATCGCCACGCGCATGGTGACACCTCCGAGGTAATCTTGGAATTGCGGGAACATATTGTACACAGATTTCAGGTGAAGGTTTGACAGTCATCAACAAAACCACGATGAGCGAGGTTGCCCCAAGTCCCCAATGATTTGCTTTTGCAGCTTATGTTTAGAAGTGTGATTTTTACAGCGGTTGTTAACTCTGCTGTCCCTCAGGGCTCGTGTTGAAAGCAAGGCTGATGTGTTTTTCACAGCAGATTTGATTCACAGAACAGATTTTAAAAAAATATCAGCAATGTACACTTCCCTCCCCTTTAAATTCCAACAGTGTCAGCAAAGTATACAGTTCAGATCACAGTTAATATCCAGACAATTCCACAGCACTTAAATAATGCCTTATTCTTTATAGCATTATTAATATATCTCCCCCACCCACATGCACACAATTAAAATGGCTTGACACGAAAATAAAACAAAGTTAGCATCCTTCTGGAAGCAGAGGAAAAAATATCCCTAAACGTTACAGCGTCTAGGATATCTTCAGTGTCTAGGATTGGTCATTTCATTATTTTTGCAAGCGAGAGACCTGGGTTCGATTCCCAGCAGGGTGAAACCTTAGGCAAGTTTCCTTACTCCACACGCCTGATAATAATCCCTCAAAAAAAAACAATAACTGGTTATTTCAATCCACGACTGTTTGTGGGACACTGCTGTGTGCAATTGGCTGCCGCATTTTGCCCACAAATATACAGTCAATTCACTTTACAGTCTATTCTGTGAAGCACTTTGAGACGTCTAGAAGACGTGAAAAGCGCTATATCAAATATAAGGATTATTATTATCTCAGTACCGTAACCTCTCCTCTCATTCTAAGTTTTGTTCAAAGAATGAATGTGGCACGGACTAAGCAGGTAGGTTTACAGGTCAGAGGGTGTTGAAGGAATTTTATAATACACTAAAGTCCTTGCATTTGATACGGCACCTTATTACGTCGTTGAGGGATCTCAGAGCGCTTCACAGAATAACTGTAAAGTGTATTGACTGTGTACTTTGTACGCAAAACGCAGCAGTCAATTGCGCACAGCAGCATCCCACAAACTGACAGTCCTGGATTGGAAGCTAGCCTAAGGTTTCGTACATGTGCAGGATAAGGTAGTGAGTAGATAGTGGTAGAATCTCTGTATCAGGAAAAAAAGGACTTTAAATAGATTCAAATTCTCTGATAGTATTTCCTTTCTCTAGCTCAGAAGCACTGAAGCTAATTACACATGACATCAACACACTTACTAATTGAGAGGTCAGGGAAGTGTATTTATTGCCATATTATGTTATATATCGTGCAGAGATATTTGCACACTCACAGGTTCCCTTTGTTCCTGTGGTTCACGCATTAAACTGCTGCTCAGGCTAACTATGAACATATCTCTTTGTAGAACTGAACACAAAATACTGCAGATGTGTCCTCTCACTTACGAGACAAGCGTGCCAACCACTGTGTTCGGACAGTGCCTTGAGACTTCCTCCCGACGTGAAAGGCACTATGCAAATGTAATTTTGTTGTTGTTGTTGTGTTATGGGACTCCATTTTCAACATGAAGTTCAGATACTGGTTTCTTCCTCACCTTTTCTAAAATGTAATGTTGTGTTCCACAGCTGCACTTAAAAGCTGGAAAATATGCAACACCGCTGCATGCTTATCTTTTGTCATCTGTACTATTATGCATCCAAGTGCACTAAAAACACTCAGCAATGCAGTACACTTTTCAACCATTCAGTGTCACCAAAGGACAACTGGTTTTGCTGGACAACTTATATTTATGTATCTATTATTTATACAGGTTATCTGTTGATACAAATCACATACGTGATATATAATGTGATGAGGCTGAGTAAACATTCATTTTCAGTGAGGCTGAAATTTGGATAAGTTGTGTCTTTGGTCAGTTCTCACTCAGACCTCTGGGTGGCGTTTTAGCTTCTTGGTTGTAAATTAAAGAGAAGCAGAGCACATATCACAGAACGCAAGCGTGCTTCTTGTTGGATGAGTACAGAATGGAAACAGTTGTTCTATATGGGAACTTACGACTTAGACATAAACTTAGAAATCCTGACCAAGTTTCAAAAACATTGTCACACAACACCAAACGTTTACACAACTCCTCTCACAATTAACTCCTTTCACATTGGGAGGACTGACTGGGGGACTGAGCTGGGAGGGTAAGGGGAAAGTACAGTTGAAGAGATGGATTTTGAAGGTGGGAAGGTACTAGAGTGCGGGAGCAGAGGGGCAGTACAACGGTGGGGCGGAGGAGGTGAAGCAGGCCAGTGTTTGCTGAGTGGAGAGTGGCTGGGGCAGGAGGTTGCAGAAGTAGGATGGGGTGAAGCCATTGAAAGTGAGACAAAAATCCTGATGAGGTTTGGGGAGGCAGTGGAACCGAGAGGGATGTTAGGCTCATGGAGCTGGCATGGAAGAGGACACACCCAAAAAGCTGCCAACTTAAAGCCATTCACTGTACATGTGCAGGATAAGGTAGTGAGTAGATAGTGGTAGAATCTCTGTATCAGGAAAAAAAGGACTTTAAATAGATTCAAATTCTCTGATAGTGTTTCCTTTCTCTAGCTCAGAAGCACTGAAGCTAATTACACATGACATCAACACACTTACTAATTGAGAGGTCAGGGAAGTGTATTTATTGCCATATTATGTTATATATCGTGCAGAGATATTTGCACACTCACAGGCTCCCTTTGTTCCTGTGGTTCACGCATTAAACTGCTGCTCAGGCTTACTATGAACATATCTCTTTGTTGAACTGAACACAAAATACTGCAGGTGCTGAAAATCTGAAATCTGCTGAGTGTTCCCAGCGACTTCTGTTTTTGTTTTCTTTATGGAACTGCTTGGTCTAACTGCTTGATCCATATAGTCCGTTCCCTCTACTTTGCTCAGCGGGCTCTGGCCTGCTCCACGTACCCCCACTGGCCTGCTCCACCATCGGGGGTCAGGCCTTCACCCTCTGTCCCCACCCTTTAGAATTCCATCACACAGTCTCTTTAGTCCCTTCTTTGCCTCCTTCAAGGCCCGTTTCAAGACCCTCCTCTTCGACCGCCCTCCAACCCTCCTGATCTCAACTCTCAGCTCGAGTCCAAATCTCTGACTGTCCAGCTCTGTACAAATGTAATTTAATAATAATCCTTGCATTTACAAATGTAATTTAATAATAATCCTTGGATTTAATATAGCGCTTTGGAACATCCTCCCAACATGAAAGGCTCTGTACAAATGTAATTTATTAATAATCCTTGCATTTAATATAGCGCCTTATCACGTCTTTGAGACGTCTCAAAGCACTTCACAGAATATATTGTAATTTGAATTGACTGTATATTTTGTGGGCAAAACGTGGCAGCCAATTGCGAACAGCAGTATCCCACAAACAGTCGTGGATTGAGTGATCAAATTATTATTATTTGTTACAAACAGAAGTCGCTGGGAACATGCAGCAGGTCAGGCAGCATCTATGGAGAGGAAATTGAGTTAACGTTTTAGGTTGATCAGGTTTCAGGTTGATCACCTTTCGTCAGAAACGTTGATCACATTATCCACTCTCCATAGATGCTGCCTGACCTGCTGCGTATTACCAGCCACTTCTGTTTTTATTTCAGATTTCCAGCATCTGCAGTACTCTGCCTTTTTTTTTATTATTTGTTGTTGTTTTCTTACCTAGGATGATGCCGTTGGGGTTTTCAGGTGGTTGCCAGACGACTCGCAGTGAGGTTAGCTGGACTTCAGGGAACACCAGCCGGATGGGGATACCTGGAACTGAACACAGCAATAGCTAGAATCTTGACAAAATTTTAGACCGCTTATATCAGGAAAAAAAGTACTTTAAATAGATTCACATTCTCTGAAATTAGGATTGCAACTACCTGAACCCACTGAAGCTTACCCAGCTGTGTGAGGGATTTACATGTACATACAGATGTGGCACGTACATATAGAAAGATTACAAAAGTTTTCTCCAAAGATTATAAATTTAGATAGGCAGGTTTGAATTTGACAATTAAACAAGATTTTTAATTGTTAAAACAAAAGTATTGCTCTGGGTTCTTTATCCCATTAAACATTGTATATAAGTTTACAAGGTCTCCTTTAAGGAGTCTCTTCAGGCTGGATAGCACCAGTTTGCCTCATCTTGAAAGGCTCAAATACCAGTGTTGGTGCTCTCCTCTGCACTGCCTCTAGAGTTAAGGACAGGAACATCTTTATGCAGTGCTGATCAAACTGTATACTAAACCATACATTTGGCCAGTGTCTGAGTTTAAGTAATAGTCTTGGAAAATTGATTTTGTAAGCAAAGAAATGCTAACAAGAAAAAGAGATGACTGTGGAAAATAACATTATGTGATGAATAATTTCATCTTCAAAAAACATTTAACTTATTGATCTAGTCACAAGCGTCATTGATCAAACTGGATCAAACTTATCCCAAAACAATTCCAAAGAACAGAACATATTTACTGACATCTTATTAACCCTTCATGCACCACATGAGTGATTCTGTATCATTAACCATAAAATATTGCACAAAACTATAAAACTAACAATTTATATCTATTAGCCTGCAAATGATTCACAGAATTCACAGGAATCAGGAATCACAGGTGCCTGAGAGTGCTCAAATCTCTTGCAGTAGAATTCAATAGGCAAGTTTACCTGGATCTGGAGTTTTGTGCAATGGGAAGCAAATGAAGGGAATAAGCAAGATCATAGGAATAGCCAAGACCTTTGCAAACTTCTTCTGTAAGTTCCGAGAAGTCAACCCCCTCGAGGAAGAACTCAATACTTTGCAATGTTTGTGTTGTCCTGACTTCTGAAGATAGTCATCAATATCTGTCAGATTCCAGGATGTGTGTATGTATTATGAGACAAAAATGTACATTTAAACTTTTTGCTTTTGTTTACATTAAAAAAATCAGACTTCAATTGATCATAAGTACGAGAGAACACTCAATCTGCATTGATTGAATGATTATTTGAGTTGTTCATTGTTTGAAATGTGTAAACTATTCTAAATAAAACATAGATTAATAACCAGAGGCAGTAAGTGGAAAGAGTGCATTTTGCTAGTTCATTCTGCTGCCAGTGTTCATTACCACTTCTCTGTTATAAGATGTCAGAACATTTTATTGTTCTGGATCAAGGCTGTTGCTTTAAGAATGAGGCATTAGCGATTGATGGCTCAGAAGATGAATGACCTGTGCAGTAATGTATAGTGCTGTACAGAACAGGATTCAATCCATAAAGCTCCTGGATTGAATCTCTGGTCTGTACTCAGCTAGCCGATCTTAGTCAGGTCCTGAGAATTACCTTCATAATCCCTGGGCAAAGGAGAGGAAAGGGGAACCTGTAAAACCAAACAACAAACAAGAGAGACCCACGACCAATTCAACAGTACATTGGTAAATCACGCCTTAAAGGAGAAGAGAAAAAACAGGGCTGACAAGAGAAAGAAAAGTAAAAAGACCATCATTGATAAATCAGCCAAGCGTCAAGTAGGTTTAACTTTTCAAAGTCCAATTCAAGGTAAAACTTTTGAAAAATCAGAAACTGAATTTTTTCCCCAAAAAATCTGACAACAACAACAACAACAACAAGATTCCATTTATTGAGCGCCTTTCACGTCGGGAGGATGTCCCAAGGCGCTGTACAGTTGGGTCAGGACCCGAGCAAGGGGGAAATGGTCAGGGTGAGGGAAGGGAGGGAGCGAGGAGGGGGTAGAGAGTCGAGAGGGGAGCTGAAGGCACGGTCAAAGAGAAGAGTCACAGCACAACCTACAACATAAGCAGTAACTGGAACATGGGCAGCTCTCCAGTATCCTGACAAGTGCCTATCAAAGCTAACATATTACTGATTTGTCAATCCCATGGACAATTCTAAGAAACTCATACTGAAGTCGTCTACTTGAATTGGTTTTCTTGTCAAATCATGGATTTAGCTTGAAATTGAAGACGTGCTACACTATCTTCTCGTTGCCAGTCACTGATTTGCTCAGTTACATACAGGTAGAAAATACAGCATTTTGGAGGGGGAAAGGACGGTGTTATTTAATATTTTCTTTAAGCACAAATTAATAACAAATAATAATAATTCTTAATAATAGAAGTTTCTTCTCTTAAATTCACAATAACCCAGCAAATCTGGGTTTAGAACCATTCCCAACTCGTTTACTTTGATTTTGTTGTACTTTGGTTGCACAATCCATTCACCAGATATTAATAAACTGAATTCATGTGCACAAAGCAGAAAAAATGCAGAAATTGTAATTCACGGAGGGAAATCTAGGTAAAATATCTGAGCCTAAAATTCCATCTTGTTTTATTCAGCAAAACAGCTTTGTTTTAAAATTCAAGATAAGAGAATTGTGAAAAAGTCTCAAATTCAGCTGAGTTTGAAAGCCACTTTTCTGCAGGTCCGATTAAGACTTAATTTAAGAAACTTGTACAATTATTCGATCTTAAACTTTTAAAACAAATTGGTCTATGAGCTAAAACTGGGTGGATTTTCAAACCTTTGTTCTAAAACAAAAGCTACTGATAGTCTCTAAATAACTCTCTGCCAAGTGCAGGCGAGACGAAGTCAGTGGTATTGTTGGAAACGGAGCTTCAGTTTAATTAATGATCCCAGTTTCCATTTATTCAATTTATTGCATCCCTGATGACCTGATCTCTCATCAAGGACTGATTTCAATGATGTACTCGGGACGATCGTTGATCTTGATACAAAGATAGATTTTGCTACAAAACGGGATTTTTCAAGACAAATAGCAGCAGCAATGACAAAACAAGTCATCAGCAATGTTGCCAATGGCAACAAGATGCATACAGTAGGCAGTGTTCCTGTGGCCGGTTGAGAATGTAGCTTTCAGAGGCTGTCGGTGTTTCTTTTTTTGGAGCAAGGCAGATTTGCAGAAACTGTCAAAGAAATGGTAGGAGAGGCAGGACACCTGCTTTAGCTTCCCAAGCAGGTGTAGGTATTGCCCTTATGGCTTGCCTGATTTTCCAGTTAATCATCTATCGTCAAAAAGCGCACTTAAAGCTCAAAAAATCCCCCCCAAAATTAATTCAGTTTTCAAACATTTACATTCACTAACACATTTTGTGAAGGAGCTATATTTGATGGCATAATGTGAGTGGGTAAACAGACTGGTGTGGTTGTGCGCACACAAACACACACACATAGACACACACACCCACACAATAGCAGCAAACAATGTTGAAGGATTAAGGAAATTTGTTTGCGACTTCAATGAAACCTTTGATGTGGCGAATGCAACTGGTTATATTCCTGCCTGCATATGGTATGGTTTAAATGTCAAACCTTAGTCATATTTTTTCAATTATTTTCTTCTCCGTGTTTCAAGATAATTCCATTTCTCAGAGGGGGTTTCGTTCTGGTTTATCCTTTATCCTAAAAGCAGTCAAGGACACTATTTTTTTTCGCTCCTGTTCTTAGAATGACTGACTGTCGCTCTAACCATTTGATTGCTCTGCTCCTCAGACTGTCCAGTTCAGAAAGTTGCTGTCTTAGGATTCTCAAGTGTGAACCTGACTTTCACCAACTTGCGACACAGTGTATCAGTGCACTCGCCTCCTGTGCTACAAGGCAGCCCTTTCAAACATCATCAGATCCTCTTGAATGTTACAGTACCAATTTCCATTTTTTCAAGCACTTAATTTTTCAAATCATGGTGTGAAAAACATGAAGTTAATGGGCATTGTTCTGCGGCATTCAAGAGCTAGCTCAGCAGACAAACACTGAGCTAAGAGAAAGCGAAGACATCAGCAATTTCTGTGTGTATAATCGAACATGATTTAATTACTGCATCAGTCCCAAATTCTTAATTTCACAAACGGTGCTGCAAATCTCATGGGTGTTCTAGAATCAATAGGATCTACATCTGCTTTACATATTCACAGCTGTCTCCCAATTATATGATTACACATGAGTGATTATACAGAGTTTAAAGCTAAACTACAATTATGTTCTGTATTGTTCGATTACTGGCAATGCTGCTGAGCATCTGTGCCAACAGGACTATGTTTCAGACGTTATAAATTGCTTCTTTGTTTTAAATTGACGAATTGTCTTGCTCTCTAAGCGCAAATGTCTCTGCCTTACTCAACAAAGGCCTTGCAGAGTCTCGCAGTTCCACGCATCACTCGCAACATCCTCTTTATCATTCACACAGTTAAGGGACGACTTGCAATGAAACCACCCTTCATGCTTCAACAGGGCTCCTTATAGTAATTTACACAGTTCACTAAACTGATCAATACAACAGACTATAGGGGGGTCTAACTTAACAGAACAAATGTCAGCCAGGAGGAAACATACAACAGCCGTTCAAAAGTGGCCGTGCATGTTTAAAGACCCCAATACCTGAAAATACCACAGAAGATGATGTTTGTCTGCAGTCAAACAACCAAGGCAATACCATTGTTTCTCGACAGGTAAATTGAAGCATTCCTCTGCATCTATCCTGCAGTGCAAACACTGAAAACGTTACTGCCAATCTGCACTTTAATAAACACAACCAATAAAATTATTAATTAAAAAAAGCAAGATTTAGCATTGCATGTAATTAGTATTTGAATACATGACATAATTCCTGCAAAATTAGAGCGATTTATCCCAACCCCATAGAGACGGCTCCTAAATTAACAATCATGTGGTCTAACAACTAAAAACAGAACCCCAAAACATTCTTGATCTTGAACTACTCACAGGTATCAATGAATGCAGAACTCTGAGCTATTTAATGAATGTAATCTCTGAAATTCCTACATTTGTCCTAAATAAAAGGTACTGTAAATACAGCTCATTATCAAAACCTGAATGAACAGGATTCCTCTTCAGGCCTTCAGGGACGGAGAAAATTGCGATTAAAATGCATCTTAAAGAGGCAAGTTGAAACTCTTTAGCCTTCATATTAGTACAAGTAGAGTCTTGGATGAACATTTCTTATCTGTAAGGCATCCTGCGAATAACGAACACATCAGTACAACTTGGGGCAGTGTGTCAACATAAATGTTGGGAGATGTGTTTAGTCCAACACTTTTTGACATGGAGATTTCCACGGGAAAGGCACAGAACTGAAGCTGAACTTTGCTCAGGAAATGGAGTGTTCTATAGCGGGGAAGGGGAGAATTTTAGGGAACATAGGAATAAAACTCAAAGATTAATAACATTTTGCAAGTACTGATAGTCAAACACTTTACAGCTATATAGTTAAGTATCAGACCTAGTGACTGAGAAGGGAGTTAAACACAATCCACTGAGTAATATCTATTTCCCACTTACCTGCCCGAAGCAGATATAACAGAAGGCCATTGGGATATATATATTTCTGCCAATGACACTTACCATCATCTTTTGTTCTCTCAATTAGAGGTGGTGAGCTGGCTACTCCATCTCCAATCCTGGTAAAGGCCAGAACTCGAATCTCATACTGGACATATTTCCTCAGACCTTTCAGGATAACAGACTGTGTGAAGTTTCCTTTCACTAGATGTGTATGAGAGCTTGAATCTGAATCCTTCTCTTGGTACAGAATCTAGGACAATACATACATGCAATTAAGTCTGAGCAGTGATAACAGTTACAGTATATCAGCACAGCTCTACTTAATTAATGCTTATGCAAAAGGGGGCTTTTGACTCTCAAAATATACACATCTTTTCTGCCATACGAGATCAAAAACAGAAGTCTCTAAAGTTGGACCCAGTAAAGTAGCATGAAAAATCAGCAGGAATATTAAAAAAATAAAATGGAGTGAAGTCTTTTCTATCTTTAAGATTGAGATTAAACCATATTGCGGGAATTATTAGAATAAATCAGCCAAATTGAGCGGTGTTCGATGATCACACCAGGGTAAAACCTCCACTTGCACCTATAAAAGGGGCACCCCATGTTAAGCACAAGTTGGGAAGCTCAGTAATTTTGTTAAACCAGAGTTGCAGGTATGCAAAATAGAAACTTGATCTATGAGGGGCTCCTCTCCCCACGTATTAAAGTTCCTCACTGAACTCATAATAGTCCTCATTAAATCCTACCAAAAATATTAGTTATAAAACTGTGTGACTAATATAAATAGAATACACTATGAAAGATGTGAAATACGATTTTAATTCCCACTCCGGAGACAGCTCATAACTCACTTGAGAAAATAAAATCATTTAATCACCCTCTTCAGCACATTTACCACTGAGATTATTTTTAACCTTTTGAACTAGACTGTTTGCACAATTTTGAGCTATTTCATACTAACTTCAGAAACAAAATAGAACAAAATCACAAGCATTCAAATAGCTGTGGTTGAAGTCCCTGAATACTTTCATCTGTGAAGCGCTTTGTGACGTTTCAATGGCAAGGATTAATAATAATTCAACATCAAATGCAAGGATTAGTAACAATAATAATCCTTGCATTTGATATAGCGCCTTATCACGTCTTCGAGACGTCTCAAAGCGCTTCACAGAATACACTGTAAATTGAATTGACTGTATAATTTGTGGGTGAAATTACAGTCATTTATAATTATCTTTGAACTATTGATGTTTTGCCACAATTTCAGTGTTTCACAAAAATCGAAATAATGAAAGCTTCTAATTGAAAACATTACCAATTTGTATTAGACGCTCTTAAATACTGTCAGTCCATACTTCATAGGTGCTTACTCTAGATCGAATCTGGAATGAATACAATTTGCAGATAGCCTGAGCTTTCATTCCAGAGCAAAATTGCCTCCTGAATGAGTGCAGCCTTTCAGTATATTCCGTGGAGCGCTTTGAAACGTCTCGAAGATGTGATAATGTGCTGTATCAAATGGAAGGATTATTATTATTTATTGTAATGGTAACAGGTACCTTGTAACCGAGGATAAGTCCGTTCTGATCAGATTCTGGAACTGCCCCCCACATGACCAGCATCTTAGTGGAACTGACAGCATCTGCTGAAACATTTCCTGGTGCTGCTGATGGAACTAAAAGCAAAGAGCGCAGAACATGAACAACAACAACTTGCAAGAAATATGAGATTTGTTTAGAGAAAGGGAAATAAATCTCTAGGACTGGAAATTTCACCCCATTATAATCTTAAAAAAAGCTTCCCGCATCCCCCCCCAGAAAAAAATCCATGACTGTTTGTGAGACACTGCTGTGCGCAATTGGCTGCTGGGTGTTGCCCACAAAATACAAAGTAAATTCACTTTACAATATATTCTGTGAAGCTCTTTGAGATGTCTCAACGAAGTGATAAGGCGCTATATCAAATGCAAAGATTATTATTGTTTGCTTCCAGGTTTTTCAGGTTTGTAAAGAGAGAGTCTCCCCATTATCGAAAAGGGACTCTACAAAGTATTACAAGTCTTATATGTGTTGATTTTGAATGTTTTCTTGAAGCAGCAAGGCCTGACAGCAATAATAGGGAAGCTAGTCTGGGGAAGTTATTGAGCCCAGCAGTGTGAGAAAGGCAAATTAAAATATGCAGCTGAAATGCCTAAATTGTTGACGTGTTCTTGGTGAATGACTTCATCTCGACTGACATTAACTCATACCTGTCACTTGCCAGCCTCAATAATTCCTGAAAGCCTTCCGCTTACAATCTAGGCAAACATTTCAACAGAATTGGAGAGAAAACTATGAAAGGATATTAAATAAATATGACGGAAGTTAAATATGATGAGAGTACCTGACTCCCTTGTATGCCCTTTGACTTGCTCACTCCACGGTCCTGAACCAATGGCATTAAAAGCTTGGATCTGGAATAAATATTCAGTCCATTCCTCTAGATCCTCGATAGTAATCTCCCGCTCCAGGCGATCATTAACAATCTGAAGTACAGGTGCAGTCTGTCCATCCACTCTCCAGTATTTAATTCTATACCCAACTGATTCAGGGTTGCCATTATACTCAGACTCTGGAAGAGGCTGGGAAGGAGGGATTGAGAATCAATGATACTTATATGATACCTAAACTGCATGTTTTTTCCGAACTAAGATTGCAATCGTTGCAACAAAGTTATTAAAACTGACCCGTGCATACACACAGTATTTGAACGCCTCGAAGACGCGACAAGGTTTCGTTACTCCACACGCCTAATAATAATCCCTCCAAAACCAAAAATAATAATAAATTGGTCATTTTCAATCTACGACTGTTTGTGGGACATTGCTGTGCGCAATTGGCTGCCGCGTTCGCCCACAAATATACAGTCAATTCACTTTACAGTGTGTTCTGTGAAGCGCTTTGGGACATCCTCCCAACGTGAAAAGCGCTATATCAAATGCAAGGATTATTATTATGTTATTGTTTTTATTATATTGAGGTCTAAACAGCAGCGATTTCAAATAGGATTAAAGAATCTGAGTGGGGACTCCATCTGGTAACTAGGTGGACATCACGTCATTTGGCAGAAACTTTACTTTTAAAAGTTCATCACGTCGAAGCAGAGTTGCTGTGAATCAACTTGGTTTCCTTATTAGGGAATCCTGTTGAAATTGCTGCATTTTAGACCCCGTTGGTACTAATCCCTGTGAAGAGAATAGTCAATGAAACAGAAGAATAAAAAACACACAAATGTTCAAAATCTGAAATGAAAATCAAATACGGTGGAAATACACATCGGATTGATGAGCACCAGGTTGAGGAACAATAACACCACCTTGCATTTATATAGCACCCTTCACCCAGGGTACCGTCCCAGTGTGCTTAACTAATAGTTGAGGAAGGTATGTTAGTTTCGCCCACAAAATATAGTCAGTTCGGTTTACATTAAATTCTGTGAAGCCCTTTGTGCCATCTCATTGACGTGACGAGGCGCTATAAAATGCAAGAATTATTATCAATATTATTAGCGCTAGTCAGACCATTCTGATGAACTATAACCTGAAACACTAATCTCAGTTTCTGATTGAGATGATGATCGAGCTCCTGTGCATTGCCACCATTCTTCGTCTTTTTAACATAAAATAACATTGAAGGAGAGGTGTTCCTTGCAGCAAAAAACTTCTCCAGCAACAAGACACGGCAACTTTCAAAATCATTTCCTTGGTATTTTGTTACTACAGGGAAAATTTTATACCGGCAAGTAATCTCTTGAGAATTCCTTTCAACTTTCAAAAAAAACTCAGGATGAAAGAAACACAGAAATTTATACAGGATAACCAACATTCTGATATCTAAGCAACTTGGCTTTCATAAAGACAGGAAATTGAATACTATAATTTCTAAATGTCAAAATTTGATTCACGTCAAGACAGACTGCAATGCCTTAATCTGTTACAATCCATACTGAACTCCTGAAATAATTGAGGAAGTTGATTAGTGAGCCTAGAGGGGGGAAAAAAATCCATTCAACTGAGGCATGCAGGCCCATTCTCTGCTTGCTTTGCAATAATTAAGATTTCAGAAAAGGAAAACTGCTCAACATAAACGTTCTGGGATTGCCATAGAACTGGGATCGATTTAGTGCAAACGCATACTTATGCTGGCGGGAGAGGGTTTGGGGATTCAAACATGCTGGGATTTTTCATGAGAACAAGATGCAAATCGCTGCCATTTGCTGTTGCTATAATAGTGTTGATCACCTGTTGTCATACCCTGGGGCAAAATAATTGTCCCTTTCAATAACCCAGCAGTCAGTTAAAAGTGAACTATCATTATACTAATATTGTGCGAAACAAGCACTGGTCTCAAATGGCTTCTATGAAGCAATTAAAATCATCTTTGCTCCTTCTTTCAACTCTCTGTCATAACTTTTGAAAACACGGGGTAAGGCGTGCCTAATTTCCCTAGTTCGGAGTAAGGGCAGGATGAGGGGTGACAGCTTGTGGTGCGAGTAATTTTCATGTGTGTTTTACTACTTGTGGCAATCTGTAGCAACAAATGTGCTGCAATCAGGAACTACAACTAAATAATAATAATAAATCGACCATTTCAATCTGTGATTGTTTGTGGGACGCTGCTGTATGCAATTGGCTGCAGGGTCTCACCCACAAAATATAGTCAATTTACTTTATAGTATATTCTGCAAAGCGCTTTGAGATGTCTCGAAGACATAATAAGGTGCTATATCAAATGCAGGGATTATTATTAGAGTTCACAACATCCTAAAATCATGCTCTGGCTGTAAAATTACATTGGAATCCAAACTCTATAAATATAATTTCTGTGAATGTTCCCAACGGAATCTTGCAAGTGAATGAAGCCCGAAGCTGTCTGGAGGATCCTCTCAGTTCTTTCCATGTCCTCTTCTGAAGTTGTCAAGCAAGGATAATCAATAGGCCTATCAAGAGGCGCTTTGAGACGTCGCAAAAATGTGAAAAGGCGCTATATCAAATGCAAGGATTATTATTATTATCAGAATGCTGAGACTAGGGACACTGAATGTTGGTGGTGTTACTGGCGGGAGTAAAGGATCTGAGACCAACTTCATCTTCATCAAGAGATGATCTGCAGATTGTTGGGAGAACGTGGAATATTGGTACCGTGATCTCCAGGTTGGAAGGACAGCACCTGTTTCATATATAGTCTTCAATTCCCCTTTGATTTGTGCCAACAAATTAGGTAGGACTTACCACCCAGCGAACCCATAGGCTGGTCTCACTTGCTGTCCGTACTGTGACACTAGCCGGCGCTACGTCTGGTGGAGCCTGTAGCGTTTGGATTACGCGGGAAGGCCAACTTACAGGACTGGAGCCCACTATGTTCATTTGTTTGATTCGAAACCTAATGAAAAAATAACGTATGTTTAGCACAAGAGTAGAGGAAACTGCCTCAAAACAGAACTGTTGTCTTTCTAAACCTGCTAGTAATCCTAACATGACCTGGTCTACAGCTGTTTATCTTCATGTGAACTACATGGGGATCTAAAGTTAATTTGGGCAAGAACAACAAATTGCATTTATATTGGGAGGACGTCCAAAGGCACTGGACAGTCAAGGGTTTGCACTGAATTGGGGGTTGGAGTTAAGAGGGCAAGGGAGGTGGAAGGATGACTGAAAGCGTTATCAGAGATGAAGGTCTTGAGATGGACCTTGAAGGAGGCAAGGGGAAGTGAAGCAACTATGGAGTGGTGCTCCAGACAGTGGGGGCAGAGAGGCTGAAGGCCCGACTGCCGATGGTGGGGCAGGCAGGGCAGGGGACATGGAGTAGGCCAGTGCCAGCTGAGCAAAGAGAGCAGGCAGGTTGGTAAGCTTTTAGTAAGTCACAGAGGTAGGGAGGAACAAGTCTGTGAAGGGCTTTAAAAGTGAGGCTGAGAATCTTAAACTCAATTCTCTGGGGGATGGAGAGCCGAACAGTAGAGAAGTCTAACAGCTTTTTGAATAGGGAAATATCAGAAATATTCCTTTCTTTTATGCAGGGTCTGCAGGTGTTCCATGTCTCATCTGTCAAACAGAGTTACTTTGATGAACACTGCACTATTGATTAATTAATGTGAATAGTTGCATTAAGCAGAAAAGCATTCATTGCAGCACAGCAAAAGTCTGAAAAATATCCTAGTTTAGTTATAAATTTGATATTCGAAAGGTTGAAGTTGATTATTGTGGCAATTTAACAAGTATGAAAGATCCATTAGTCAAAAAAGGGAAAAGTCATTTTCATGAATTAAATTAAACATACTTAAGAGTGAAATGACTGTTTTGGGAGCCAGGTTTGTTAGTTAGGCGATTGAACCTTCAATGGGTTTTCAATGCAAACGCCCCTGAGACTTTCAATATCATTCAGTGCTTTTGGCAGGTCAGTTGGTGAGGGATTTTGTTTATCCCCATTGAGTGATTGAAGCTTATTTAAAGTTTCACTGGTACAACATTTTTTTAAAATCATAAATGCACCATGTATTACACTGGCTTTGAAAACAATTTCTGTCTGGATTAAACAGTTTGGTCACGTACAAATGAACGGCAGCGACTTCCTTTTGATCGTCGCTGAAATGCTCTGTTACCAACAAAGAATAAACAGCAGCCCTGTCAAGGCCACCCACATAAAATAACTTCCATTTCCAGGAATGAGGCTGAGGACACTCATGTGTGACCAGGGCATGAGTGAGGCCATCTCGGAAGCAGAAGTTAGTCATTTTATGTGGTTGGTCATAACATTGTTTCTAATCGTATCATTATTATAAATTTTTGTACTCTTTTCTTTTGATCCTAATAATTCAGGAAAACAGTCCGAGGACAGTCTCTTTGGATAGTATAGTACAATTTTTGCCCACAAAACACACAGTTACTACGATCCTGAGAAGTGCTTTGAGACGTCTCAAAGACATGATAAGGCCCTATATCAAATGCAAGAACTGTTGTAATTTATTATTATTATAGTATACGAGCATATGAAAATCCAACAGTAAATAATTAAAACACATTAAATAAAGGGAATTCAATGAGGTTCAAAATATGACTTTCTCAATTGTTGTGTTCATCCCAACCAAACGAAAATGTCTGGATTTCACGCTTGTGTTAGAATCAACAATAATAACTTGCATTTATATAGCGCCCTTCACGCAGGGACCAGAGGGCAATGTTCTGAAGTCCACAAGCCTGATCAGAATCATCTCAGATCAGGTATGTGGACTTCAAACCCTTGATTGTCCTTGGTCTTACCTGTAGTAAGTATAGGGGATCAACTTCGGGATCTCCAAGACCTGGGCATCTGGTTCATTCTCTGCTTCATACAGTAAACCCCACTCTTCATCATCTCCTATTACTCCAACCTGAGAACAAAAGCATTAACATTAACCTTTCATTGGGGAAATGGTTAAACTAGACTCGTGTCAAGCGTAGAATAATGATGACATTGATAACCCTTGGGACACCAGGTGGAGCAAAACAAGACAACACTAAACAAATCTTTACTTCAGTTTCTATAGCTCGGTTTAGTGATATTTTGCTTCAAAAAGTTAAAACTATAATGAATTGGCTCCACTGTTACAATAAACGACAGGTAACTCATGAGTACAGGTGGTTAGATGTATTGCGCAGCAGCGATTTTACATTTTATATAGAACTGTTAGCTTCCATGGGCTCAACAAGGCTCCACACTGAACCTGCTGTCAATAACCTTTTCTGTCTGATTGACAGAAGATGCATTTCTTCTGAATGAGTCAGATATTTTTTCTCTTTGGGGATAAAAGCATTTCTGACATCAAGGTCAGGCCTTTGTACAGGTGAAATTAAAGCTACACGATCACCAGCAACATCTTTAGTGAACACCTGGATGGTAACAGTAAATCTGTATCTGTGGCTTTCCTGATCTTCAGGCACTCATCCTGGTAATGGAGAGCGACTACATATCGGGGAGAGAGGGAAGGCTGGGAAACAAGCGGTGGCTGGTTGTTCTGCACTACTGAGTAATACTAAAGTTGAATTTTCTTTGGCTGGACCCCCAAAAACAAGTAAATTCTCGGGCTAGTCCAAGGATGTTGCAAATAATCCAGCAAAAAGCATGGCTCCTGAGCTATAGTATCTTCATGTTGATCGGTGAGATGGGAATAAACTATAATGAGCTTTAGTTGTGTGTGTGGCAAAATAATTTAAAACAATGTAAGTTACTGCACTCAACTGTTACCTGTTCCATGGCAATGTTTCTAACATCTCACATGCATTTGTAACAAAGCTGCAGTCAGTTGTGTGGGCTGTGTATTACTGACAGTTAATAAAATAAATTATTATCTTAGACAGCTATTTTGCTCTCTGTGTATGATATTAAAAATAAGTTTAACAGATCCCTATCCCTCGCAAAACAATGTATATGGCTGGATTGCTGCTAGTGGTTCTGTGTTCTGCTGCTGTGTTCTGTGAACTGAAGAAAAGGGCAGCACAGAAAATATACAGTCAATTCACTTTACAGTATATTCTGTAAAGCGCTTTGAGACGTTTTGAAGACATGATAAGGCGCTATATCAAATGCAAGGATTATTATTATTAAATAACTTTCTTTCCGCTGGGATTAAGCGAAAAGCACTTTGTCGCAACACTTGCAAACTTGACAGTGTTTATCTTATAAAGTATGAAACAAAATTCTGAATAAATAGAGTAAAGAAGCAGTAAAATTCTTCAATTTCAATAAATACCACTTTGGATTCAATCAGAAAACTCAACTGGCAGATGGGAAGAGCTTGAAACTTTGCTTATAAACACATTGTATTTTCTTCCCAACACAGTTAACCCATCGTCTTTCAGGAAGGTTTAATCAATAAGGCAGGACAAACATCAATTCTGGAACGCTGGCCATTCATTTAATGTGCTAGATATGCACTGGGTATTGTAACCAGTATAATACCCAGTGTATGTACACTGACACTGGAAACATTTTGTGCAGTAATTACCACCTCATGCAGTCACAAACCTGTCCTTCCACTATCCATTTAGAGATCGAGGTTTTCCCATCATAGCCCGGCCGGAACTGCAGCATGGCAGAACGAGGGCTGATGTTTGAAATCACAAGGTTAGACGGAGCACCTGGAAGTTCTGAAAAGCAGACAAATTTAAATTAAAGATCAAATGACTTCCTTTTCTTTCACCAGAAGCACTGTTAACTTTAACTTCCCACCAGACAAAATAAGAAAACAGCTCCATTACGCATAGTAAGTTATCTAGAATTCTTGCAGTTATGCACTATAAAATCGCTTTTCATAATCTGAAAGAAACCCAAGTTTTCTTCAATCAGGAATTTCATCTATTTCTCAAGTTTGTGCTCTGTAATGCATTAAGACTACCATTTTGTGACCCAGAACCAGCAAAAAAAGGAAGTCTTACCTGGTGGAACCCCTGAGGAGATACTGGAAGATGTCACAACCCCACTACCAACTGAGGTCAAGGCTGCCACCTCGATGATGTAAGTGGTTAGGGAGGCCAGGCCTGTTATCTTGAATTCATGCGTTGTATTAGGTAACATTCGGGTCAGTCGGCTGTGATTTTGGTTGTACACTGTCCAAGAAATCTGGTAACCTGGACAGCACACAGAGTGACATATGGGGGTTCAACTGAGATTAATCTTCATCCACATTTTGTAAGAATTCGGAATTTATCTGGAACACTCTCCTTCAGTGAGCATTGTGTTTTTTTAATCAATTTTTGTCCCGATGCATTTAAAACCCCATGTATCAAACACTTCGCACACAGCACTAGATCAGATGATATTGATGTGAATGTGCTCAAGGTTCCAGTTTGATGTTCACGGGAGTAGAGAAACAATCACAGAAAATATAGTTTAAATAAACCAAAAGTGTTTCTTTTAGTTTAAATCTGTAGTGTTCATTTTATTGGCATATACAGCTGACAAAACTACAGTATTAAGCACATTGGTTGCTTCTTTCCAGATGTCGATAATTATTTGGGGAGGACAAGTTTGCAGGGCTATAAGGAGAGAGCAGGGGAGTGGGATTCAATTGGAAAGCTCTTTTCAAAGAGCCGGTACAGACACAATGGGCAGAACAGCCTCCCTCTGTGCTGTATAATTCTATGATTCTATGATGCAATTGATTCCAGACTGAGGGACAAAGCCCTATTATTGCCCTTTTCCTCTATAATAATAATATAGCTCCTTTGAGATGTCTCAAAGCCCTTCACAGAATATACTGCAAAGTGAATTGACTGTATATTTTGTGGGCAAAATGCAGCAGCCAATTACACACAGCAGTGTCCCACAAACAATCGTGGGTTGAAGTACCAATTTATTATTTTTTTGTTGAAGGAATTATTACCCCCGGAAAGCCATCCGCCAATCAACTACCACCGGGTTCCTACTTACTGCTTGGCAACAGAGGCGTGTTTAGTAAGTAAACTTGCTCAACGTTTCGCTCTGTCGGAAATCAAACCCATGTCTCTTGATTAAGAGGCGAGTGCTCTAACCACTGAGCTACAGGACTCCATAGATTATATACAAAAGAATCATAGAACCCTTACAGCACAGAAGGTGGCCATTCGGCCCATTGTGCATGTGCCGGCTCTTTGTTCTACAAATTAGAATTAGTTCTACTCCTTCCCCGTAGCTTTGCAATTTTTTTCTTTTCAAGTAAATATCCAATTCCCTTTTGATAGTTACTTTTGAAAGTATACAGTTAACAACTGACCAATGTTTCCTATTGAAGATTGAAACAAATGAAGGGTAGTATCTTGCAGAACATCCATTTTTCTGAGTATATTTGTAAATGAGAATCCAGGAAGAAAGAATAAGGAATTTGCTACATAGGAATAACACACAAATATCAGCACAGATGGCAGCAGGCTAAACATGAAAAGCAAAGGTAAATTTTGTTGTGCTGCATATCACACTGACTGCAGAAATCAGATCATTATTGTATGTGGCTTGGGAGAAAGGAAGAAGCTGATTTTTCACTAGCTATTTACTTAAAGCATGTAAACGCATGTTGCTAATTGGTATATAAACAATTAAAATGTGACTGATGACAACAGAAGTTGATAAATTTTAAGAGAGAAGTAGATAATTATTTTGGGAGGACAAGGTTGCAGGGCTATGGGGAGAGAGCGGGGGAGTGGGATTGATTTGGAAGCTCGTTTCAAAGAGCCGACACAGACACGATGAGCCAAATATCCTCTTTCTGTGCTGTATAATTATTCTATGATTCTAAGCAGTTAACAGTTGCACACAGATGATGCATTGTAAGTCGATGCTTTTTAATGTTAAAAAAATCGAAACACAGTGAGTCAGTGCTCCTGCCTGCTTTCTCTTCAGATTTACCAGATTTGCCAACCTTGTGCAGCAAGAATGAGGCTGCAACATAAGCCGAACAGGCTGGTCAACAACACATAACACAGAGAAAGAAATTGTATGTTTAACCCCAAAATCTACCACTCATATCAAACGATAAACCGCTGAGGTCTACAAAGTGAAAATGTTAAAGAGGCGTTTCTAACAGCATGATGTAGCTTACATGCTTTACTAGAAACAGAGGTCTGTCAGTGCTTGCTGTTCCAACTGGCTTTGATCCTTTAACAGGCTGTGTTAAATAGCTTGGAACTGGCAGAAGAAGCAGACACATGTGTAAGTTGGGGTATTTACGTGCAAGAACAGAACGTTTCCATATGTTGCCTAAATGACAGCAGTAAGTGTATTGCATGTGTGCACTAGGGGAAGCTCAAGAGTAGATAGCGCTAAGGGACCAGTTCAAACTGCATGTAAATTGGTACTTGCAGTCATACGTGCACATAGAAAACATTCTCAGATCTATTAGGAGAGCGAGCGAATGTTACAGAATGTGAAGATGAAAAAGAAAAGTGCCCTTCCCGACATGTGGACCACCTGTAGTATTTGGATGCTAGATATCCTTGATAGGATCAGAACTTCATTAATAGGAAAGTTCACTTATGCTAAATAATGATACTATCATTTTACACCCAATTAACAAAGCTACAAGCTGAAGAGTTCAATTAAATTATTGAATCATATGAAGAAATAATAAGAATTCATCAGTAACTGATATCTACAGGGCTTTAACTGCCAGTGTTGCCGGCTGGATGCCTGGAATTGATCTGTCTTTTGTGCAGTCATTTTCATTATTTATATTTCATATTCAGGTACAGTAAAAAATAAACACTTCAATCTGAAACGGTTCACAAGCAAACATTCCAGGCAGATTTCCGTGTCAGACTGGGAAAAATTCATTTGATCTTTGGATGCCTTTGAAATGTCAATCACTGGAATGTACAATATTAGACATAAATAAGCACATATAATACTAAGTATAGGAACTTAGTTATCATCAGTAAAGTATATAGATTTAGTAAGCATTAACACCCATAGACCAAGGAAGCACTGAACGGTTAGCTAGATTCACTGGTTAAAACTTATTCTGACCTCTAAAAGTAGTAATTTTTTAATGCAAATTTCATATTATAATTTTAATACAGAAAGATTATTATTGAGTGAGTGAAAAATGTAACCAATTCTCTGTTTTACAAAAGTTTTTGAAACTTTCTGTTTCAAATCCATTTTCTGGACAAGTGACAGATCATTAGCACTACTCTTCTGGAGGTCAAGAACAGTCATTTTTCCGATGTCAAAACCATTTGTTACCTTTATCTGAATATTGTCACCACCACTTCAGTTTAAGGAACAGGGTTAGCTAAACTCTACATTGTTCCACACAATTATGGCTTACCATCGTCCTTCTTCCTATGAGCTCAGAGAATTATAAGTGTGAAAGCTTCCTTTTCGACCGCGCCTTCAGTCACCTTCCTACCGCTACCCTCCCTGCCCTCCACCCCTCCTGATTCTAACCCCCAGCTCAGATCCAAATCACTGACTGTTCAGCGCATTGGGATGTCCTTCCGACGTGAAAGGCGCTAAACACATGCAATTTGTTGTTGTTGTAGATGTGAGAAAGATAGGTGAGCTAAATAGGCAGCATCTCTCAGTTGACATGTAAGCACTTTTGCACTGTATAACAGAACAGGATCAAAGGAAACCTACCAATTGATGAAAAAAAATGAACAGAATTCTGGTTCACAACATTTCTCGCAAAGATATAGAAAATGTTCAAGGCAGAGGCCAATTTCTGAAGAGCATGTTTTATGCACTCATGTTGCTGACCTTTGTTCTTTGTTCTCCAGTTCCTGTCCATCACATTACAACACTTAGTAACTCTCAGTTACACTTAAATAATCTTCTAAATTCTTCAACCTTCAGCATTAGCAATTTATTAGAATACAAAGAGCTTTTTAATTTAAAGGCTAATGGATCATATATCACACTTTCATTTGCTTCACTCGTACTACACCTTGTCTATCATTATATAATACATTAATGATTCATCACGCTGTCTTTTTCAGTATGAGTTTCAAAAGTGTCTTAGTTTCCTTAAACGAGTCATAATCCTATAAGTGTTTATTCCAGGCCACCTGTTTTAGTGCTGGTGCAATGTCCCACTTGAATCATTAACCTATCTTTCTCTTTTATATGCTGATTGACTAACAAAGCATTTCCTGTGTGTAACTGTTAACTGCTTAGTTATTAACTTCTGACAGCCTCAATCATACTTTAATCATTTATATACCAGTTAGCAATATAAGGATATGCTTTTACACGCTTCTGTGTGTTTTTTTATATAAAAAATATTTAAGTCAGCTTAAAGACTCCAAATAAGGATTAAATCCAATTCACCACTGGTTGATACAAGACCTTTTGTTGCAAACCAGGCACATGTATTGCTATATGATTTGCAAAAAGCAAACATAGCAAACGGGCATGAATGGCTATAGATCAATTAGGTGTTCCACATATAGGGCATTGGTCCTGGAAAGCACAGTTCTGACTTACAGTCCCGTGTTGGAATATATCAAACTACAAGATTGGAAAATTGCACCACGTGCATACTGACACAGCAAACAAATAAACTGTGCTTATACAGTCAACTTTGAGTTGTGTATATAATTCCATCAACTGGAACATCTAGTAGAATTGTACAGCAGCTGCTTTTGGATAGCTCCTCGAGTCACTGGCAGAATTTGTTTACCCATCATTTATTTTTGACATGCCAAGGAGTCTTGCAATGACATTAGTGATCAAGTGTGATGGGTCCCCACTGTAGTGTAACAAAGTACTTGAATACTCATCCTTCTCTTAAGCCTTAAAGCAATTTCATTTCGGTAGTTGTGTGCAACAACTATAATAATAATATCCTTTGCATTTGATACAGCGCCTTATCGCATCTTGGAGACGTCTCAAAGCACTTCACAGAATATACTGTGTGAATTGACTGTATATTTTGTGGGAGAAACGGGACAGCCAAATGCACACAGCAGTATCCTAGAAACAATCGCGGATTGAGTGATTATTATTATTTTTCTAAAATTTTTTTAAAGGGAATATTACCCCCGGAAAAGTGATCCGCCAATTGACTAACAACCGGGTTCCTACTTATTGCTAGGTAAACTTGCCCAACGTTTCGCCCTGTCCAGGAATCAAACCCAGATCCTCTCGCTGTGAGGCGAGTGCCCTAGCCACCAAGCTACAGGACAACTGTGCGGATTCCCTGGTAAGTAAAGGAAGCATTTAAAAAAATTTCACACCCAAACAGTTCAATTGGACTCAGGAGATGAGTCTAATGTTGAGCATAAAATACACCTTCCTTAAAGGAAGCAGAATCATTCTTGGGTTGAACACATTCTGAGGAACCCAGTTATCCAAGACACTGTTGACAGTTGACCATCCTGTAGACACACGTGTAAACACATCCTCAACCATGCTTACTAAAGAGGTAGAGCTAACCTGTTCTATTCACTATTTTTCTTACCTGTGAGGATCCCATTTGTTTCCTGTGGTTCTTGCCAGCTGACTTTTAATGAGGTGTCGAGGATTTCACTGAAGCTCAGGTGCCCGACAGCTCCCGGTTCTGTGAAGTGTAGGAGACAGTTAGAGACGCTGAATGAACTATACTGGCAATGGCAGACATCTGATCACAACAACAACTTGCATTTGTATAGCGCCCCTCACATAGGGTAGCGTTTCAGAGCACTTGACAGTGGAGAAACCTGATCCCAAACCAGGGGGTGGTGAGTGGGGGTGGGGAGTGATCATAAGCACATTTAACCATGTCAGTCCTATTTCATAAGGTGATTCGGTAAGTCACTTATTCTGTTAATATTGCCTATTCATAAAAGTAGCAAGTCGTTTCAGTACCTACTCTTGGGAGGAATAAACCCACTGCTGAAACCACAGAATGTATGTTACAACATGCTCCATCTATTTTATATCACAAATGTGGTAGTTTAAACTACAGAACAATATGTTATCAAAAAGGAGTTCAGGGAGCGCTTTTATCCACTGCTCATGACTCTTTGAACCAGTAGAACCAGGCAGCCCAGGAGAGAGGGGTTACTGAAGTTCACTTCACAACTAAACACTTACGGGTTAACTAACAATCCATGTCACAGAAATTTGTTCTGCCTTATATTCATAATTTTTTTAAAAAAAATCTCTTTAATCTTTTGATTCAAACCCACTTAACCCTCACGGTTGCTTGGTAAAAAATAATTTGCTTGGGAACTCGCTGCAGTTTTCAATTGATTTTCTCCCCACTCAAATTTCCTTCACTTGAGAGATAAAATCTCTTGTATGAATCTCAAGGAAGTGCTTAAAGCTTACAGGTGAAAAGTGTGTAACCATATTCTAAATATAATAATAATCATTTCAATTGATTTAGCACTCTTTCACGTCTTCGAGACATCTCAAGGCGCTTCACAGAATATATTGTAAAGTGAATTAACTGTATATTTTGTTGACAAAACACGGCAGCCAATTGCGCACAGCATGTCCCACAAACAGTTGTCGATTGAGCGACCAAATTATTATTATTGTATATGAAAGGATTATTACCCCCGGGAAAGCAATCTGCTTATCGACTGACAATTGAACTCCTACTTACTGCTAAGTAAACAGAGACATGTGGAGTAAGGAAACTTGCCTAACGTTTCGCCCTGCCTGGGAGTCGAACCCAGGACCTCTCGCTTGCGAGGTGAGTGTGAGCCAATACATTACGGGACTCCAAATAAATAATGGAAAATAAAAATATCTTCAAAATGAATTACTGAAAAGAATAGATGAGTGCAACAGGTATGGAGAGTGTGCAAAAAGCTAACCCAGAACTGGTGTATATGTGAAAAGCGCTGACATAACATGCATCACAACGAATGGAACAAATGTGTTATGTTAGCCTTTCTTGTATCAAAGCAAAGGGAATAAGTGCAACTGAAATTCACAATGTGCATATGAAAGCAATGGGATTCTTAGAACAGTATGATGCACAAATGCCTATTTATCGTGGGCAGTGCAGAAACAATGTGTTATAATCTGGAAGCAAAAATTATCACATTCATTTTATAAAGCTGCGACATTATGTTGAACGAGCTTTATATTCCCAAGTACCTGTCTTATCTGTCTAAATTAATAACAAGCAGACACCATTGTCAACTTTCAATTTTCCCCATTTATTTAAATCTTGGAGTTCAAATGTGGGCTTTCTCGTACAATGCAATTCGAGGCCTCGGGATCTGTCCCTCCAGGCAGTGCAAGAACAAGTAGCACTGAAATTCTAATTAAGTAAAATAATAGACCAAGATATCGACTCATTGTCTTCACATCAATGTGCCTCTTACCTCTGGTCCTCTCCTTCCTGTGCTCATTCCAATTCTCCCCACCATTCCACTGGTCTCTAACCTCCTCCCCTTCCCCCCTCCATCATATCTTCTGCCCTCATTTCTGGCTCAATGACCCCATTGCTACTTGTGCTCCTGTCTGCAACCAAACGGTGCTGTAATGAATAGTACTGCTGACTTCTGTTCTTGCAACCAAGAGCTATGCTCAGCTCCCTCATGTTCTGAAGCTGACCTGCTACCAATGGCGCGCAGCATTGTCTCACAAACAGTTGTGGATTAAGTGTCCAAATTATTATTATTATTTTATTATTATGTATTACCACTAACGGTTACCATCTTTTTTTTGGAACAATTTCAGGAGGAGACGATAAAGTGAATTCCCTTGATACCACCTAAAGGGTAGCCAGGACAGAAGCAGCAGCAACAACAATTTAAATTGATGTAGCACTTTCATGTCAGGAGGATGTCTCGGATGCTTTACATAGCTGACTGGGTATCTGAGCTGGGCGGGGGTTGATGCGCGAAATGTGGCCGAAAGCAGGATTGAACCAAGAGGTCTTACATTGAGTTTTAAAGGTGGGAGGTGCAACCAGGATTTTTGTTTATCAATGGACCATCTCCATGGTATTAATGGAACATGTTCCTCAAAGGGAAGAAAAGATGAATTGCTCAGCCATAACCAAATATAGCCCCATACATAATAAACAAGGTGTTTTGTTAGATTATTCTGTTAAATGTCAATGAGTCTCCACAGGGGCAGCAATATTTGGGCAGGTCGAAACTTTAGGCAAGTTTCCTTACTCCACACACTTTTGTTTACCTAGAAGTAAGTGAGAGACCTGAGTTCAATTCCAGGCGGGGCGAAACCTTGGGCAAGTTTCCTTACTCCACACACCTAATAATAATCCCTCCAAAACCAAAAACAATAATAAATTGGTCATTTTTAATCTACGACTGTTTGTGGGATATTGCTGTGCGCAATTGGCTGCCGCGTTCGCCCACAAGTATACAGTCAATTCACTTTACAGTGTGTTCTGTGAAGCGCTTTGGGACGTCCTCCCGACGTGAAAAGCGCGATATCAAATGCAAGGATTATTATTATTATTAAGTAAGTGGGAACCCGGTTGCTAGTCGATTGGGTTTTCCAGGGGTAATAATTCCCTTCAAAAATAAATAATAATTTGGTTACTCAATCCATGACTGTTTGGATACTATGTATTTGTCTTGAGGCAAAATATGTTCATAGTGAACTTGCGCTTTGAGACGCTTTGATGCCGTGATAAGGCGCTTTATCAAATGCAGGGATCATCATTATTATTATTATAGATTTGTGTAATTTAACAGACAGTTCAGTATTTTACAATGTGTATCATACAATCATAGAATTATACAACACAGAAGGTGGCCATTCGGCCATCGTGTCTGTGCTGGCTCTTTGAAAAGAGCTACCAAATCAATCCAACTCCCAGTAGGAATGTAGGAGCAAATGTGATTAGAATGGTTTGTTTTCAGAGGCTGTACTTCAAGTCCCTCATTTTATCAGCCAGTTCGAAATAAATGTTACTAAACAGGATAATTTCTTAGATAATTTATTGAGATTTGCAACAATCTTACAAATGCTACTATTCCAAACTTGGCTAGAAAATAAATGTATTTATCATATCCTAGCAATGAATGTAACGGTTTTCAATAAAACGTGATCTGTATTATTCCTCACATTAATTCCAAAACTGTGGCCACTTATTGGACAATGAAGAGTTAACTCAAATATGAATGCATTGTTGAAATGCTTCATTTGCCGTCAATGTCTGCAAATACTGTGATGCTGCGGTCTTACAAAAAATAGTTAGACACATTATATTTTAGCTTATGTTCGTGGGGGAGAGAACCAGTCTGGGAAGATTAAATCTTGTGTGTAAAGGCCACTATAGCTCAACTCACTTCATTAGACATCCCAGCGTGATTCTAAGCTTCACTCCAACACAGCTGCAGATGCCTTAGAGGCATTAGCGTGAATGTAGCATAAGACTTGTTTCATTAGGATTACTATTTTTTTGTAAAGACTAGAACCGGCTGGTGGCCAGGATCAGCACAGAGCAGAGGGTGGGATTGTGGTGCGAGTTCTGTGTTTTTTGCTGATTAGAATTCATTGAAAGCCTTGTTTCTCCATCAAATAAAATAGTAAAAAAAATGACTTGCATTCAGAATATCAGACATTTGCATTTAAAAAAATCACATACTTTTAAGGTCCAGTTTACATTTAAGATATTTCCAAACGGCACACTTAAAACAGGACTTGATGGCAAGCTTACATTAGATATGAATGGCTCAGTTTTAGGCAATTGTTCTCAGAGTACTCACTATCTTCGTGTGTCTGGATGAGCTTGAGTGAACTTTTGGGCCCATCTCCTGGTGTGGTAAAGCACAGTACAGATGTGTAGTATTTTGTGAACTTGTTGAGGCCTGTGATGAGCCCCTCGTGGAGCGTTCCATGAAAATCAGGGGCAATGGTCACCATCATTACTGCCTCTGGCGAGTCCGCAGCCCAGGCCAGCAGCTGGGGAGAGATTGGAAGCGCAGCGTGTTTGAAAAAAATATTTTAAAGTACGTAACTTTCATAAAATACAGGCATGGAAAATCACACCTCAAAATGGAACAAAGATTTCTCACAATGATTTATGTCTGAAAGCAGGCAGTATCTCGCTTGATTTGTTCTGTGTTATTACCTTGTAGCCCTGGTTAATGCCGTTTATGAACTGCTGAGGGGGTGGGTTCCATGTGAACGTAATCGCAGTGGAACTGACAGCGACCGCCTGAACGTTCTGTGGGGGTGCTGTTGGCACTGGATGAAAGCAACAACAGGTCAATCTCTGGTCACTGCACACAATGATAAAACCGACGAAAATCGGTGTCAGAATATTTTTCTAATAGCTATCGTTTCAATGCAAATTCAAAGTATGATTTCCAACAACTAGCACCAACAAGATGTATACATTCTGTATATATGTATATATAGAGAGAATAATAATATATTATTATTATATAAATAAATTATATAATATCCTTGCATATTTGATATTAGACATCTCAAAGCGCTTCACAGAATATGCTGTAAAGTAAATTGACTGTATTTTGTGGGCAAAATTATTTTCCCCTCTTTCTCCTCTCTGGGGTCTCTGTGCTTCACTCAAATTGCATGTTAAGCAGGTCGGAAATATAAACGTAATGAAGACATAATTCACAAGTGCTCTTTCTCACCTCCCTGCAGTGTGTATTCAGTCGCTGCTCTGCTGTATGCCCCAAGCCCAGCACCATTGTATGCTGCAACTTGGATTTCGTACTGGGTCCAAATGATGAGATCTTTCAGCAGGCAGTAAGTCACCTCAGGGATGGTGATGTTCTTGAACTGGTAGCCACCTGGAAGACCAGCAAGTCGATACCTAAGGAAAGAGTAAAAATCAAGTCATCCCAATGTTGAGCCACAGGATCTATTTCACGTGTCCGAATAAACGGAGCAGATAAATTAAGGTGATGTTCTTTTAAGAGAGACGTAGATGAGTATTTGGGGAGGACAGGATTGCAAGGCTATGGAGAGAAAGCTGGCCAGTGGGATAACATAACATGTAGGAGCAGGAGTAGGCCATTCAGCCCTTCGAGCCTGCCCCACCATTCAATCATGGCTGATCTTCTAATCTAACTCCAGCTAATAACCTGACCCTGCCTTATCCCCATATCCCTTAATCCCTTTTGCAATAAGAAATCTATCTATCTCAGTCTTGAATATGTTCAAGGACTGAGCGTCAACAGCCCTTTGGGGTAGTGAGTTCCATACAGTCACCACCCTTTGAGTGAAGAAGTTCTTCCTCAACTCAGTGCAAAAGGGCTGCCTCTGATTTTAAGGTTGTGACCCCTGGTTTTAGTTTCTCCAACTGGGGAAACAATCTCCCACTATCTACTCTCTCACGCCCTTTGATGATCTTATAGGTTTCTATAAGATCCCCTCTAATTCTTCTATATTCTAGAGAATATAGGCCCAAATTGGTCAGCCTCTCCTACTCATCCCCTTCATCCCTGGTACTAACCGAGTAAATCTACGCTGCACCCCCTCCAAGGCAAGTACATCCTTCCTTCCTTAAATAAGGAGACCAAAACTGGACGCAGTATTCCAGGTGTGGTCTCACCAGGGCCCTATACAGCTGCAGCAAGACTTCCCTACTCTTATACTCTAATCCTTTCATAATGAATGCTAACATACCGTTCGCCTTCCTAATTGCTGCTGCACCTGCAGACTAACTTTCTGTGATTGGTGTACAAGGACACCCAAGTCCCTCTGGACGCTAACACATTCCAATCTCTCCCCTTCTAAAAAAAATAACCTGCTCTACTGTTTTTGCTATCTAGGTGGATGACTTTGCACTTCCCTATATTATGCTTCATCTGCCACCTACCTGCCCAATCACCTAACCTATCTATGTCGTGTTGTATTTTTTTAATGTCGTCCTCTGTGTTGACACTTCCTCCTAGTTTTGTGTCATCCGCGAATTTAGATATATTAACTTCGATGTCCTCATCTAGATCGTTGATGTAGATGGTAAATAGCTGAGGCCCAAGGACTGATCCTTGTGGCACTCCACTAGTCACATCCCGCCAATCTGAAAAGGACCCGTTTATCCCTACTCTTTGTTTCCTACCCGTTAACCATTCCCCAATCCACGTTAATATGCTAGTTGGATTGAGTTGGATTGCTCTTTTAGGAGCCGGCGCAGGCGCGATGGGCCGAATGGCCTCTTTCTGTGCTGTATGATTCTATGTGGCATAAATCAAAAACTTGCTGGAATAATGTGTAACAAATATGCCTATTGAGAACTGCAATTTCATTCCAGGAAACAATGGCTTTTTAATGTCTGCTGTCTTTTAATAAGAACCTTTAACAATTATATATAGGAAAGATAGAAGGTATTTTTATTATGAATACTAATAATATTCCTTGCATTTGATATAGTGTCTTATCATTTTGTGATAACGTCTCAAAGTTCTTCATAGGATTTACTGTAGAGTATAGTAACTGTGTATATGTAGGCAATTTTCTTTCAAACATGGACAGATTCCAAAGGAAAGTTCCAGTGGAACTTTCAGACTGGTCTGGATACTCTTAAGCACTGAGATGGAATTTCACATCAGTCAGACAAAAGAAATATATCTGAGAGGATCAGATTTATATTCTTTCGGTTATGATGATTTGTTAAGAAAAATGTTTAATAATCACCTATTGTATTAATAAACATGCAAACCAAATGGGCTGTCGCTCACACATTAAGAATGGGCATCCAAAGATCATTATCAGTGCATCATAAGTCACAGGTTGTAAAAGCTAAGAGAGAAAAAAACAATACTCTCGCTTTACAACCAGAAAATCTGAACTAAAGGTAATAGAATTAATGTCAACCCACAAAATTATGGTCAAAACATTTTGATATTTTTAGAAGAAAAAAAGTGTTAATCATTTGTAAAAAAAAAGCTACAATGATGCATTCTATCAATCCTCTTTTTTCCTTGCAATTTTTAAGTTGCTGTCTATAATAATGTTACTCATGTGAAAACAGACAGAGCATCCATAATTTACATTTCTTTTGATTTGTTGTGTCACGTCTGTCACATCGCTATCTAGACTAGGAGTTTATTATTTGTTGTGCAATATTACCATTATTAATGTCTGGGGATCATTATGCTTTTATTAGCACTTTTCTCCCTGATGTGATCATTGTAAATCAGGATTATCACTGCTTACAAAAAGAACAAGAAGTCAACGCATTCACTGAGTTCTCACTTGCTGCCCTCTACACGGCCTTTAAAACTATTCCACCTGGTTCTGTTGTTGGGTCAGAGACTGGAACGGGAATTACATGCACGACTCCAGCACACAACAAATAGTAGCAAATCATGCTTAACTGTGTCATGTGGTACTTCATTGACATTTACATTGTACAAAATAAAATGGAAAAGAACCACGAGAGGACAGAGCAAATATTATAGAATGACAGCACAGGAGGAGGCCATTCGACCCATCGTGCCTGTGCCGTGCCGGCTCTTTGAAAGATCTATCCAACTAGTCCCACTCCCCCACTCTTCCTGCATATCCTTTTCCTTTACAAGTACCTATCCAATTTCCTCTTGAAAGCTACTATCAAATCTGCATCCATACTGTTCCAGAAAGAAGAATATTTTAACTATTTTTCCTTTAATTTTTCCATTCCCTCCTGAAATTGATGGGTCTAGTTCCATGAACACTGAAGCATCGATCTCATAACTTTCCTTTTCCAACCAGGAATTTCTTGGATTTTGAGTTTTTTCATCCTCTTGTTCTGCTATTCCATTACCTGAGTATATATCCTTTCAGGAGCCCATTGATCTCCTGCTCTGGGGGAGGTTGCCATTGTACCATTATGGACTGGTTTGTTCGACCACTGGCCACAATATTCTGAGGAGGTGCACTTGGCGGCTCTTCTGGTAACAGCAGCCTGAAATCAAGCACATTATACTGTGTTACATATCAAAACATCAGAATGTGTGTGGGTGACCTGGATGAGTTTGTACATTGCAGCATTACTTGGACATGCAAATGTGATCAGTATGGCTTCAAGACAAACGTATTAACATTCATTCACACGATTTTTCTGGCTAATAAGAAGCACGGAAAATATTCTCCACTCATTCTGCCTGTTATTTCACAAGTCTTGGGTGAGATGACATGGGTAATAGATACATAGGGAACTGTTGCTTCTTTGAATAATCATCTCTTTAAACTCACTGAGACAAATTCATTGAAATGTTCTATTGGAGTAAGTTACAAAGAGGTTAAAACAAAAAGAACTTGCATTTTATAGCAAAAATGGATGGTAGCATCCTCATGGATGGTAGCATCCCAGAGTGCTTTCAAATGGTTAATTTACTTGGAAAACAAAATCCATAACTTTCAAATGTAGGCGTGGATTCTGTGTGCGGTTCAGTCAAACACAAACTATATTGTTATCTTATCCAGACACTGAGCTGGAACCAGAACTAGGTAAAAACAAACCCTGTTTAATACTGTTCAATGCTAAAGTATTTCCTTCTTGGTTGAGGCTTTTGGCACTATGATAGACTATGAGGTGCACAGTGGTACAAGAATGTCATTTCTTGGATCAGATTGGCACAGTTCCCTATGTGAAGGTGTGCAGACTGCATGGAGGTAGAAGCAGAGTCAGTACTGTTGCCGTGGGTGACCTTGGCCTGCTGTTGGCAGTATGTGAAAGGTGTAGAATGAACAAGAATGGAAACTCGCTGTACAGGGAATTGGAGGCATGAACCTGCATCCAATCAGAGCAAGCGCAGTGCACTGGAGCCCCACAGCCAGACAACGGAAACCTTAACCAGAACATATGATTATATACATAGAGAGAGAAAGAGCAGGAGAGAAATTTCTGAACATCTGTCACAAAATTGCTTGACCTAAAAGTCAACATTTGAATTTATGCAGTGTTTACGAAACAGGAGATGGTATTTATTTCCATTATATTGCTCACAGCTAACACACTTCCAGCACAATTAATGACAGTGACATGATACCATTGTCTCTAAAGACAACAATGCAAATGAAAGTCTCTTGTCTGATGCTGGCAGCTGCCTGAAAGCAGCAGCATGTGGGAAAATTTAACGTTTAATCTTTTATTATGCATAGCATCAGGGATGAAAGTAAACTGGTGCCTTGCAAACAGATTTTGAAATAAAGAACCATGTATTAAATATGTGGATTGTAAAATGTAGAGATTCCTTTTCAAATCTCTGATCTGTTTCTCCAATGTCTCTTCTTGTCACTTTCCTGGCAACTTTACAGTTTCTTCTTTCTCTCTCTCTTCCCCCCTGATACTTTATCAACTCCCTCTTGCTCTCAGCCTTGACACTTTCCTCTGATCAGGTCTCTGGTCTCCTACTGGGGCTTGATCGCAGTCTACTGCTAGCTTCAGTTGCTGACGCTCATCCTAACCTCAATTTGTTTCCCTCTGATCACACGCACTTGAAACTGATCCACAGCTTGTGTTATGTCAACAACTCCTTGTGCGAGTAAGGATTAAAAACAATATTAAATATTTCCAAAAGAATGCAAAATGCTCTCAACTATGACAAAGAAGACAAATACAATTCAGATAAAATTATTCAAGGCAAGACGCACTGCAGTCTCACAACTGTGATCAGCCCAAAAAGCATCCAGCTTCCAACTAGAACACCTCGTAGAATGTTTTTTTACAGCACAGAAGCACTTCGGGACGCAACCCCGGGTGAAGGGTGCTATATAAATGCAAGTTGTTGTTGTTGTCATTCAGCCCACCATGTCTTGTAGCACAGCACGTCATAAGCGCTTAAGCAACAAATGCTCCCAACATGAATGGGGCATTAACGCCAAAACATCAACAGAAATAGTGAAGGGTGATCTCAACCATGGTCTGACAAAAGCAATTTTACAACATCGATTCAAACCCTTAAAATAAGACCTGTCGATCTGTAGTTGTACAAAGGGAAAAGTGAAAAAAAATTCTGAATTAACAGATAGGGGGTTATCCACTCAGCACGTGTTTTATGTTTTTGATTGGATTTTCAGATAACTGGAAGCAGTTCTTATATCCCCCCCTGCTCCTCCTGAAAAATAACTTTGCTATTATAAATCAGTTTGGATTTCTTTAAGAGGTATATTAAATATATGTATGATTTCGACTCCCCGCAGACCACAGCCTTAATGTGCTTGCCTCTGAAGCAATTATGGCCCCCTAGCTACGCTTTTGATTTCCTTGCTGTTCTCAATAGGGGACGAGTCAAAGCTTTGAACCTTCGGAGTTAAGAACATCTGTAGCTCCGGAACCTACAAGTTCGGTTCGTTAAAACCCTACCTTCTAGTGTGTAGGAATCGTCAGATTTTGTCAACATAAATTTGTCAACATTAAGTGGTCCAAAATCAATTTGCTTCTTCTTGCAAATGTACCATATTTCACTGGTAGTAATATTAAAGAGGGAAAAAAACGTTTTGGCAGAAACTCAATTAAAATGCACCGAGACGTAATTGAAAATACATGCAACCTCTTAGTCAAGATTAAACAGGCTTGGTAATAGGGAATTCCTGATTTTGGATTGCAAATGTTGGGTGCGCTTCCATTTCCGAAGATGTGACAATGTGAAGTATTTTCCTTCCCTCTCCACCCTCTGCAACTCTCCCCCCTCCACTCCTGGCTTGTGCACCCGGCCAGCTGTGTAAAGCTTTGAGATATTCTCACAACATGAAGGGCACTATATAAGTGTAAATTGCATTGTATTTAACAATAATAATAATCCTTGCATTTGATACAGCACCTTATCACAACATTAAGATGTCTCAAAGCGCTTCACAGAATATCCTGTGACAAGAATTGACTGTATATTTTGTGGGCGAAATGTGGCAGCCAATTGCTAAATTGTTAATTAAAATTAAAATGATCTAAAATGTACACATTCAAAAGCTTAAATTTGAGGTATCCCATCAGTTACCTGCCTGTGGCATCATGAAAATTATGGAGAGCTGCAAACAGGGAACATATGTGGTAATAATAATAATCCTCGCATTTGATGTAGCGCCTTATCATGCAGTTGAGACAATTCAAAGCGCTTCACAGAATATACTGTAAGGTCAATTGACTATGTATTTTGTGAGCGAAACGTGGCAGCCAATTGCACACAGCAGTGTCCCAGGAATAGTCATGGATTGAGTGATCCTGTAACTCAGTGGTTAGAGCACTCGCTTTGCAAGCGAGAGACCTGAGTTCAATTCCAGGCAGAGGGCGAAACCTTGGGCAAATTTCCTTACTCCACAGAGCCTAATAATAATCCCTCCAAAACCAAAAACAATAATAAATTGGTCATTTTCAATCTACGACTGTTTGTGGGACATTGCTGTGCGCAATTGGCTGCCACGTTCGCCCACAAATATGCGGTCAATTCACTTTACAGTGTGTTCTGTGAAGCGCTTTGGGAGGTCCTCCCGACGTGAAAAGCGCTATATCAAACGCAAGGATTATTTATTATTATATCAAATTATCTTTTTTTTTAGCAAGGGATTATTACCCCCAGAAAACACTCCACCAATCGACTAACAATCGGGTTTCTACTTACTGCTAGGTAATCAGAGGCGTGTGGAGTAAGGAGACTTATTTAAGGTTTCGCCCTGCCTGGGAATTGAACCTGGGTCCTGGCGAAGGCTCTAAACAATATGCTATTTAATCAGGGTTCAAGCAAAGAAGCCAAGAGATTTGTGAGTGGCTCCTGATGCTCCTCTGTGCACTGCTGGTCCTTATCTCATTCCCAGTCTCGATCTGGTAGAACTTTGCAGTCTTTTTCTTACTTCATAAAATTACAAACTAGACTAGTCCTTCAATTTAGTTTGGTTCAATTTATTTTGACGGTTGTCATTTTGAACCTGGGCAAGAGAGCGCAAGTTGAAAAAAATAACTTACTCTGTTCATTTTACAATATAAAATACCTTGGGCTAAAAAGAAAATAACACTTGCCATGGGCAAGGAAAAGTCCATGGCTCATTCACCCATCCATGGGGAAAGGGATCAGAAAACCACGATGAAGCAAAATAATGTACCTGTTGGTCTCCACGCTGTACTGTCCTTTCCCGAGCTGGTTAACTGCACATACTCTGAACTGGTATGAGCGGGCAGATGTCAGCCCGCTCACTGTGACATGCGTCACTCCGGGATCAATGTTAGACAACTGTACCTTCCACGGTGAGTCTACAACAGATGAAATAGTCAATGAATTAGAGAAAACATGAATAATGTTAGTTATATAGAAGTAAAAGGATCAGTAAAAATAGTAAATACATACATGTAAAAACAATTTAAATGAATCAATCTATATGCAGTTCTTATGACTCGATGCAATTGGATTTGTAAACCAATCTTAATCAACAATCGCCTATCTACACATATACATATATTTATGCCTCTGAAGCAATCATGATAATATAATAATAATCGTTGCATTTGATATAGCACCTTATCATGTCTTCGAGACGTCTCAAAGCGCTTCACAGAATATACTGTTTATACTGGTGAAACCCGGCAGCAAATTGCGTACAGTAGTGTCCCACAAACAGTCGTGGATTGAGTGACCAAATTATTTTTATTTATTTTGAAGGAATTATTACCTTTAAAACGGTAATATCTGCTATATGTACACACACAAGAGACACAGTCAACTTCAAGACCACCAACTAGATTATGATGTGGGAGAAAACACCCATGATATTTAGGTGGAGAATAAATACTGTTAAAAAAAATTAATTACAGAACCTTCACTGAGTAATCCTGTCTCCTTCCTGCTACCAATAATACTTCACATGACTGCCTGCTGTCACCACATCTGGTCTGTGGTAAGCTGGTAAGTGGGAGATTTGGCTGAGGCAGGATTCCTTCCTGCAACTCATTTCATCCCAAGCCAAGTGCGTGTATATGTGTGTGTGTGTGGTGAGAACCCACTAAGCCAAATAAAACCAAACCTGGTTCCAACCCATTAATCGGGTTACTTGATTAACCTTACTCTCAAACCTAAATCAAGGCCCAAAACTGTCAAAAGGTGGTGTGGATCCGATCCCTTGCTTCACAAGCTCATGAACAGGTCAACCGCCTGGATTATTTCTCGGACCGGACAAGCATGGTCTGAGCATGGTAACTAAGGGCTCAAGGTAGTCTGTAGTTCTAGTTTTTCTAGTGCTCTTTTCAGGGCGGATCAAACTCCTCAGATCAGGACGGCTGCTATCCCAAGCCAAATATATGCCGTGTTGTTCAGTGCAGGTCCACTATATGGCACTGCTGATGGTCATTTGCACTCATTACTTTTGGTTGGGAATCAGTGAGCTTATCTCAATAGCATTGAGGCCCTCTTTCCATTCATGCACAGTTCAATGTATGACTAATGCCATTGCTGAACCTTTGCCAGACTATTTAATTCAAAGGAAAAATATATTGCTGGTCCTCCGAGTACATTATGGATAAGGAACACCATTGAGGAAAAAAATTGGATGCAAGCTGAGTTTCGAGTTCAGTAAATCATGTGGACAGACATCCACAGAACACCAGGAGCAGGTAGGCAAATTGCAGACGAGATCTCTGAGCGGCTCTGAAGTCTATTAATCTCTCAGTCACAGCAGCTTGTATTTTTTTTAACATAAGGCATGGGCACCATGCTTTATTTCATTTACTTGCTCTACGTGTAATAGAAATTTGGCAGAAGCAGAGATTAAACATAGATCCAATACGATCCATCTCCTGAGTGTTCAGATTTGTAAAAAAATGTATTTTATCATGGATCAACTTGCTGACCAGGTTCTTTTTACATGAAGTTCTATGATGTCTATTAGAATTGTATCAGAAGATACAGGAAAAAGGAACGAAAAAATATAATTTCCCCCAGCAAAATTAGCTGAACAGCCCCAGATGCACCATTAGTGGCGCTGGGAACTGTGGGGAAATAAAATTACACACTGCTTGTTTGGGGCAAGTTAGGTCAGATTTCATGGGAGTTCAAGTATCAAACGTTGATGTAAAGCAGGGCAAACTGCGTTTGGAGATTAAGCCACGTAATGATTAAGCAGCACTTTAGAATGTTGCCTCATTAAATTGCAATCCTGATTACACTCATTTAAAAGATGGTCCTTGTTATAAGTCAATTAATGCAGACTAGCCCAACGTCTATTTGAAACTGGTGACGATAATTTTTTATTTGCTCCATCTGCCTGATTAGAACCGCCCAACACACTGTAATTGTTTACAAGGAGAAGCACTGCTAAAATAAAGCAATCATAACATCCAATGTCACTTTTACATTCAAAATTAGGGACAAGTATGTCAAGTATCTAAAATTACCATCTGTAGTTGTACTCTCAGGTTACTTTGAGAAGTAAGGAAACCCGCAGTGGAAATAAGAAGAGAATTACGATGCCGTTTTAATTCAATGTAAATAAAATCGGTGTGGGTGAGAAATTACACAGGCAAATAACAGCCAGTGGTGTGTGGAGCTGAGAAGCTTTCAGTTCCAATCGTACAATGTTGCATTTTAATAGATCACTTTCTGAACTGATCTCTGAAAAGATAATCCGATCATTCTCAAGAAAAATAAACTGGTTTTAAAGAGCAAGCATTGCCACTCGTATTCCATTTGTAAAAATAAACAATTACAATAAAAAGTATGATAGGCAATTCTTGCCAGATTTAGTTTTGGGGAGAATAATTTTGTCAATAATACTTTATTTCACCTGACTGCTATCAATCGCCTTCCCGTTCGCCTACAAAATACAGTCACTACACTTCATTGTAAATCCTGTGAAATGCTTTGAGACGTCCTCCCGCTATGAAGGACACTCTGTATTAAATACAAGGATTAAAAGTGGGTGTTGATGTTATTGAACCCACATGAAAAATGAACTACATGAGATGAGTGAACATATATTGCATCGATGACATGATCGTTGAAGAATCCGAGGTTAATGACCGTAAATGTTGCTGATCTCACTCATCTTTTTAGCAAATTTTCAACAGAAGAAATGCGAGACAAAAAGTTCCATTCATAAAAGGTTTTTTTCATAACATTATTAATAATAATCCTTATCACATCACTGAGACTCTCAAAGCACTTCACAGAATATACTGTAAAGTGTAGTGACTGTATTTTGTGGGCGAATAATAATAATTGGTGCTAGACTTGAAAGTATGAATTTGAAATCTGTTTAGCTTAGTTCTAAAAATCAGCTCAGCTGCTGAAACTGGAACAGATGTATTGAGTTTTCATCTACTGCAATGTTATGAATCAAGTCCTGTGATACCTCTTTAGGGCATTTAATTACAAGTCAAAGCAAGTTATTTTAATCTTTTACGGCTCACTGCTAAGACCACATATGGAACATTGTGCTTGGCTTCGCTCAGTGTTGCACGAAAAGCAGCACAGAGGAATGTGACAAGGATGATTCCAGGTTTCAAAATACTAAGTTGTGAAGACAAGCTGATAAAATTGGGCCTGTTCTCACTTGAGAAAAGAGCTTTGAAAGAACACAATTCCACAGTCTTATTGTCTTAGGCACAGGCAATATGGATTTGTTTATTTTTAAACTTAAATTCCTTGACCGCATGAACATGAGCTGAATTCAAACCACATACCAGAGCCTGCAAGCCTGCCTTTTCTCACAAAAGGTTAATGCTATGTGACCCAGCTTCTGTACAAAAAATCTCGACAGATATCTCAGTAGTCTTTAAAGAGCTAACTCAAAGTCATTTACTGGACATAAGTAATATATAACACTTGCATCTGATATAGCCCCTATCAATCACTCAAAGACACTACCCACAGGAAGGATGCAATATAAATGCAAGTTGTTGTATAATGTCAAGGTGACTCTAAGCACGTTACTGAGAAATGTTGTCTAAAGTAGTATTTGTATTTAATCATTTTACGCACAGAAAGGTCCGTCAAAGTGAATTTATCTGGAGGATAATTGGCTAGGATACTGGGAGAAACTCCCTTCTCCTTTAAGATTAGTGTCATGGAGTCTTTAATGCCCATGTCAACAAGCAGTATGGCTTTGAGCTCAAATTGGAACGTGGGCTTTTAAAAGACTGGAAGAACGCTTTCTCATGGGAATTAAATACAATCCCTTGAAAACTTTGAGGCAAGATAAGCAGTTGATGAAAATGCCATTAGACTAAGACAGCTGATATGAAATCCAGTTAATATAAATTTTTCTGAATCAGACATCCTTTTCTCATGTATCAAAAAATGTATGAAGACAACCCTGTGGAGAATAAAACAAAAATCAATGTGCATTTTCACAGAAGAAATTTGAAACAGTAGCACAGCCTTCTGTCCTTCGACATCAAGGGCTGATGTGCAAGGAACTAGGAATCAGAATTATTAGCATGCAGAGGCAAATTGTTTTTTTGTTAAGCAAAGTAGATCTAACTAATGTTAATGTGCCTACAGAATTTTGAATTCAACTGGTCTATAGAGGCTTACCATTGAATGGAAGAAACAAATCTTGGCTTTTAAACATTGTGGAATGACACTAGATGTTTTAACTGATCTACGCCTTGACAATTTTAAGAATTTGGCCTTGTTCTAGGCTAGGAGGCAGGAATACAGTAAGGTACCAGGAATAACAGATATTTCGCCCACAAATATACACTTTACAGTATATTCTGTGAAGCGCTTTGAGATGTCTAGAAGACATGAAAAGCGCTACATCAAAATGCAAGAATTATTATTATTTGGCCTTTATTTAGGCTGAGCAGCGATATATCAGGAATAACAGATACACTGGTGCATCATCCGACACCATCAGAGATGTGAATAGGCCCAGTCCCTTCCCCCTGTGCTGAAATAAGTGACATCTGCTCATTATCTCAATACAGCTCAGGTCAGGAGTTCAGCAGAGTGGAGATCACAACTGCGTTCCTTCACCTGTAGAAGCTCCAATGCAGTAAGTATGCCACCTGAAACATTACTGCTTTAACATCAGAGCACCCCGTAAAACATCAGTTGGAAACAAAAGTCCATTGTGTTAAGTAAAGAGAATACATTAATACTCATTTCCAGTTTCAAACAGGCAAATCACTATCACAACTAGATAATTAGCATTAGAACAGACTCTTGGTATTCTCAGTGAGTTCAGATTTTCTCTGAAGTGAGCCTTGCTTTAGTCCATGGAGTTCAGAAAATTTAATTGCTTTTTCCTTATTTGTCTGTGTTTTATATCAGTTTTATCAGTATCACCAAGTGCCATTGATTTCAGAACTGCTGCAACGTGAATTATAGTTTAAAAATCAGAACTCAAGTTTAACTGTCTGATATAATAATCTTGCATTTGATATAGCACCTTAACATGTCTTTGAGACGTCTCAAAGCGCTTCACAGAATATATTATTAGTATAATATATTTATATATTAATTTATGTATAATTATATATAATTATTATTATATTATTCACAGAATATACTGTAAAGTGAATTGACTGTATATTTTGTGGGTGAAACACGGCAACCAATTGCAATAGCAGTGTCCCACAAACGGTCGTGGATTGAGCGGCTAATTTTTTTTTGGAAGGAATTATTACCCCCAGAAAAGCGATTTAACAATCGACTAACAACCTACTTGCTGCTTGGTAAACAGAGGCGTGTAGAGTAAGGAAACTTGCCCAACATTTCGCCCTGACAGGAATTGAACCCACGTCTCTCGCTTGTGAGACGAGTGTTCTAATCATTGATATATTGTGAAAATGGTACCAGAATGGGCCAAATATAATTGAATGATCAGAGCTTTGGGACATCCTCCCGACGTGAAAGGCTCTATACAAATGTAATTTTGTATTGTATCACACCATGGAATCCGGAGCTGGGATTGGGTTTGAAGCCCGGCCTGTGGAGTTCAGTATTCCAATAGGATTTACAGCATTTGGAGATTTTTATGGTTCTGGCAAGTCTGCTTTGGTGTGGTGCCAGAAGATCACATCAGAGGCACGTTCCTATAAGTCAGTGTGACCCACATCCAATTACTGTCAGCAGCTGCTATTTGAAACTCGGAGTCACTAGTTGTAACCTCTGTTATAAATACCAAGTTTTAGATTCCTAGTTAGGGCATGCCAATATTGGATACGCATGTTGAAGTGTTCCAGCTTCTGAAACTCAGATAAAATCAATCATTCACTTCATGGCTATTTGTCAGACTTTGTTGTGTGCAAGTTGGCTGCCGCATTCCCCTATAATTACACAGTGACTACACTATATAGTAAAATCCTATGAAACGCTTAGAACAGATTTGATGATGTGATAAGGCACTATATCAAAACCAAGGATTATTATTACTTATTATTACTCACCAAGCCACTTCTAGTTTTAAATATAATTAAAAATAATCATCGTATGTGTGACATTTGCAATTTATTTGCTGTGTTTGGTGACATTTATCCATACACAAAAAACACAAGCAGCAAAGGCATTTTGCTTCTTCAGTGAGGCTGGATCAACTCTGGAGAGATGCTGATATCAGACAAAATGTTCAGCTCTCTTGGACATAGAGATGACGAAAATCCCCTAAACCACCTTCCTTTAAATGCGTTCCCACTTCGATGTAGAATATCAAGCAATTGATTTTATTGAGTGTAATAATGGTCATGTCAGAGCTGCTCGATTGTAAATGACAAACATTAATCATCTTTGTTAATATGGAATATTGTGTTGCATTTCTCAATGTAGCTCGAGGGCTTCCATGACAATGTGCTTTGAAAGCCCAAGTTATTTGTCCTGGTTAAACATGTTTAATGCAATCAAAGTTGCCTAGTTATTTCTATGGCAATAGAGATGCTACTCATGGAAAGTTTCTCTTGTACTCCACTCCTTCCTGACGGCCGCATTTGTGCAAATATTAACTTTGTGCTCTCCCTGGGGTGTCTGCAACCTTGGCAACCAAGCACACATGGTATCACCGAGGTTTGGGAGAGATGACTGCTTTTTTCGTTTTTGTGAGACAAAACGTTCAGTTCAGTCACTGCAGTCTGTACATTTGCTGATTGATGCAGGCCAGCCACTGTTCTACTCTGTTCCGGTTTGTAAATTTGCCCCTGTGCACTCTGAAATAACAATCATATTATTTAACACCTTAACAGCGCAATTATTATTTTGAAGTGAACGGGGATAAATTCACAAAATGTCCCAAACGGATCAGTAGCAGTTAGCCCATGTTAAATTCACTACCTGGCAAGACTAGAACTAAAACAAACTCTCAATAAAATAACTTTCAGAAACCCTCATCTCATCTAAGATCTGCGCTCTTGACTGCATTCATTTTAGTTCTAAAGCAGCCTCATAATAGTGTGAAGTTCAGCATATAACAATGTCAGAAATACTATGAAAAGAAGGTAAGTGTTTAGGTTATGTTATCTTGATCGCAATTATAGCAGGTTTAAAAGAGAAAGCTGAAAATAATTATGATTAATTGTATTTTTGAGGATGTTCCAAATGTGACATTGTGGGAAATCTGAATTAATTACACAGCTGATATTGGAAACTTTGAAGCACTCTAGGTTAATTGTATGTTCATCTCCTTCATGCTATCAGCTTCAGTAATTCTTCCATCTTATTCTCAATATCACACACACTCACTTTATAAATACAGCCATTTAAAAAGTCACTGAAGAATGCATGGAGAAAGCACGGAGATATTCAAGCTAATTGCAAATCTTTATAATTCTTTTGATTTTTAAAAAATGCCCTTGACTTTCCATGTACAGTGGAGAATATATTAATTAGAACAGATGAAATAATCAATTGCTGATCTGACACTGTAAATAGCACTTACTGTTTTCAGACAACTCCCCGATATAGTACAGGACGGGGCTGTTTCCGTCAAAGGACCTCATCCATGATAAGTCTACTGCGCGGCTATTGGAGGAATTCAAACTTGCCTGTAGGCTCATCGGTGGGTGAGGAAGTTCACTGAAGAAATACAGAGGAATCAATCACAGATTTATAGCAGTGCTAAGAGTAACTTTCAATTACCAATAAAAGCTTCAGTTCAATCCTGAGACAGAGTAAAGTGAATAGAGCACTGACTGCCACAATTTTGCGTGTGCCACAAACGAGTTTAAGATTTACTGCTTCTGCACAAGAAAAGTTACACTGTAAATATTGGTTTTAAAAGGCTACAAAACACACAAAAAAAAATTGCTTCTGGACTTAAAAGGTTAATATAAAATGGCCTTCAAGTACACATGAAATAGAAATCCCATAACTAGAGCAATGAACTAGACAAAATTTGAACTCTTCAGTCTTGAAAGAACACAACTTAGAAGAGACCTCATAAATGTGAACAAAATTTTAAATGGGATTGAAGAAGTAATCCCAGATCAATACTTCAGGATGTATCAAAACAGTAGAACAAAAGACACAGGTTTAGAGTTGTAAAGGGCAATTTTAGGATACGGAAATGTTTCTTAATATAGAGGATAATCAACTACTGAAACAGGTTGCCAAGAAAGGCAGTGTGGAGGCCTGGGTATCAGAGTCATTTAAAAAACAGCTTGATGCAGTAATAGGGGGGTCGGTAGGATTGGTGTTCTGGAGGGATGAGCCGGATGGCCTTCTTCATCCACACTAATCTTATGATCCTGTGAATTGTTTCTGAATAAATGAGAGGGAATTGGTGAGGCTTGAAGTATACTCACATGACTTCCAGGCGGGCTGTTCTGGAGTCATTCCCGCCCAATGAAAGAACCTCACAGGTATAGTCGCCTATATCACCTGACCAGGTTTGACTGATGTGAAGGGAACCATCTTGGTCTATGGTAATTTTGGATTCAACCTTGGTGTTAATAGTTTTTCCATCCCTCTTCCACACAAACCTGGAGATAGAAAAACAGCCGCTTTTATGACTGCGATTGTAACAGCGTTTCATGTTTTTAAGCTCGTTCCAGGTCCTGCAACTACTATCAAAGGACAAATTCAACTTTAAAGAAGTTAAAAAGTTATGGCAAGTAAATGACAATGGCAAGTAGACCAAAGTTATATCCTACTTGTGTTTGGGCAAGGTAGGACTTACAATTGTGTTCAGCAACAGTTCATTAGTTTAATGCCTAGTTGAAGGTGCTCAGCTATAAAAGGATGGGTAGAATGGGGTTATATTCCTTGGAGCAAAAGAGGTTAAGGGGTGATTTGATCAAGGCATTTTAAATAAAGAAAGGAATCGACAGGTTAGAGGGTTGACAACTCTTCCCTGCAGTAGATGGATCCATTACAAGGGGCATAGCCTTAAATTCAAAACTAGCAGTGAGAACTAAGGTCAGGAAGATTTTTTTCACACAAAGAAATGCAAAGATGTAGAACGCTCTATCACGGAAAGCTGTGTAGACAAATCAAATGAGAGGCAGTCAAGAGACTTAGATACCAGATCTATTAAAGCAGTGGTGGACAATCTTTTTGGTCGTCCAACAAAATCAGTGTTCTTCATTGAATATCTCTTGATTTATGCTTGCAGGCCATAATTTGGCCGGCACAGGATTCATAGAATCATAGAATTATACAGCACAGAAGGAGGCCATTCGACCTTTCGGGTCTGTGCCGGCTCTTTGAAAAGAACTCCCACTCCCCTGCTCTCTCCCCATAGCCCTGCAAACTTGTCCTCCCCAAATAATTATCTAATTCTCTCTTAAAATTTGTTAGCGAATCGGCTTCCATCACCCTTCCAGGCAATGCATTCCCGATCTGAACAACTCGCTGTGTAAAAAAATTTCTCCTCACTTCTGTTTCTTTTAACAACTATTTTAACTCGGTGTCCACAGGTTACCGGCCCACCCGTCAGTGGAAATAGTTTCTCTTTGTTCACCCTATTGAATCCTCATAATTTTGAAAACTTCTATTAAGTCTCCTCTTAACCTTCTCTGCTCCAAGGAGAATAATCCCAGCTTCTCTAGAGTCTTCTCATAACTGAAGTCCCTCATTCCTGGTACCATCCTGGTAAATCTCCTTTGCACCCTCTCCAATGCCCCGACATCCTTCCTAAAGTGTGGTGCCCAGAACTGAACACAGTCTCTCGCTGAGGCCTAACCAGTGTTTTATAAAGATTCATCATTACTTCCTGACTTTTGTATTCTATGCCCCATTTATAAAGCCGTGTATCCCGTATGCTTTTTTAACAGCTTTATCTACCTGTCCTGCCACCCTCAAGGATTTACTTGTATGAACCCCCAGGTCTCTCTGTTCCTTCACCCCCTTTAAGATTATATCATCTTGTTTATATTGTCTCTCCTCATTCTTGCTCCCAAAATGCATTACTTTGCATTTCTCCACATTAAACTTCATCTGCCACGTGTCTGCCCATTTCAACAGTCTGTCTATGTCCCCTTGCAGTCTGCTACTCTCCTCCTCAATGTTTACTACTTTTCCTCGCTTAGTATCATCTACAAACTTGGAAATTGTACTCCCTATACCCAAGTCCAGGTCATTTATATAGATGAAAAAGTGCAGTGTTCATAACACCGACCCCTGAAAGACACCACTGCACACTTCCCTCCAGTCGAAAATGCAACCGTTCACCATAACTCCCTGCTTTCTGTCTCCCAGCCAATTCTGTATCCATGCTGCCACTGTCCCTTTAATACCGTGGGTTTCTATATATAAGTATATAAAATCCAAACCATGAAGTAGTCATGAAACAACATAGTTTGTGTGAAATACTTCGCTGGCTTCCTAATCCTTTCTTAATTACAGGGTTTGTACCAGATAAACTCACTGGATTGTGATTCTGGGGTCGTGAGCTCCTCGGCATGTCAGCACGGCTGTTGTCCCTTTGATAACCCTGCGATCTTCAGGTGGCACTGAGATGAACGTCCGGGCTGAAGAGGAATAAAAATGTGAACATCTCTTTAACCATCTATATCACAATAACATTTTACTCAAATCAGCCACGATGTTTGAAGGCGTCTACCCTTGTGATGTTGCCCTAGCATCATATGCATAATAGCAACTCAAATTGCATTTTGATACATTGAGGAAACAATAATTGCATCTGAATTATATCCTAAACCACTGGATTGAAGTTTGCAAATCATTTTACTGTAAATATAAAAAAATAGAAACAGGAGTAGGCCATTCAGCCCCTCAAGCCTGTTCCACCATTCTATAAGATCATGGCTGATCTGTAGCTCAACTCCAACTATCCGCCCTTGCCCCGTATCCCTTAAAAGCCTGACCTGACAAATTTCTATTCAATGAAATGAAACAAATACACAGCAGTGTATGCGAATTTCAGCTTCTGTTGAAAACTTTCTTCAGGAAACGTCTATTATAATGTTGGCATTGGACCAATTTCACTGGATATTACTATTAACTTATGATCCAACCTTGAAATAGCTCACCTTCCTTTTGCTGCACCAAAAGCAGCACCTGAAGCAGATTCCCAACAGGCCTTGCGGATCACACAACCATTTGGTCACTGTGCAATGCTGGGCTACAGCTTGCAACTCAATAGACATGACAGTTGAAGTCAGTTTCAAATCCCAAATTTTAAAAAATGAAACAAGTGATGCTGAAAGAATTGTCACAGTTTTGACCTCTCTGACTGGAGACACTGTATTCAGGGTCTCTCCTCCCTTTCAATGAATGCTGGGTGATCCCTGAGGCTATCCCTGACAACTGGTCTCCCTACCTGTATGAACTGACTTCCCACTGACCTAGCATACTCCCTTATGTCTCCTTTACTCATGACGGTGACTTCCCTCTTGGTGCCACCTGTTCACTTCCTGTTTGACTTGCTGCCATGCTTATGTGCCATCTTTTGACAGATGGTGAGAGAAAATCTTTGCCTGCCTGAGTGCTTTAGTGGAGAGGAAGTAATCTGTTTAACATATGTGTTGAACTCTAGTTACATAGCTCCTTGTTTGTTTTTGATGCATTGGGGTTTCTTATATTTTAAGCCTTTAATTCAAATACTTTAAGGCTGATGGTCACTGCACACGGGTGCTTGCTGGCTTTTTCCCCCATTTGTATCATGTACATCATCTTGGTATTGTAAAGAACAGCATTCTTTTCACTGGCTTCTGCAATGCCTTAGAATAGCAGGAAACTACCTGAGTAAAAGGGCTGCGTGGATATTTCATGATTCCTAAAGGTAATAAGCAAAACACCAGATTATTCATTCATCCCCACCTCCACAATCCAGTCTGACCTAATTCCCTCCATAAACAACATTCTCTTTATCCCCTACCAGTACAGGAATCATTGTGTACAGTGCAGGTGCTTTTGTTAATATCAGTTTAAATCCTTGCATTCTCCATACCACTGCAAAGCAGATAGATAGCCATTTCTTTAAATAAGTTAAATGACATAGCATCACCTACTTTTCTTTGAATCTCACGTTGTGAGGCAAAGGAAAAAAAACCCTGTTCTAATCCCTCAACTACTTGATGCTTTTTAATCTTAAACTTTCTTTCTGGTTCTGGGAGCATGGTCCAAATAATATAGTCTGCCGGGTCACCACAAAATATGCAGTCACCTACAAAATACACACTCGCTGTATCTTACATTAAATTCACTGAAGCGCTTTGAAATGTCATCTCGATGTGAAAGGTGCTATGTCAAATGCAAGGACTGTTATTATTGCTAGCTGTCCCACTGAAGCAATTAGTTTAGTTTTACTTTGCTTAGCTTTATACTGACTCACAGATACTAAGACATAGGAGAACGTTTGCACTTTAATTCAAATATTTGTAGGAAAAGGTTCCAAATTAATGCAATACATTAATAATTTATTAACTATAACACACATTCATTCACTAATAGCAGCATTTTTAAGCTTTTCTGACCCTGCGACAGCCCTACTGCTATGTAAGTGCCTTGAAATGCCCCAGACAAGCACTCACCAAACCATCAGAAAATTCTTAAATGGCCACAGCACTAGTTTAAACACAATCACCATCACCAGAGAACACAAACCACAGGCCAACAAACACACAAACCAATTCAACAAAAAGAACCTCAGCATGAGGGACAGAAAAGTCATGAAAAGAATAAAAAGCAACTGCGAGACTGAGATCAGTAATGTAACTACCAAAAGAGGTTGTACAGCAGTGCTTAATGTTTCAGACGTTTGGATGGATCAGAAAGGTACAAAAGTAGGGCTTAGAAGATTGAGGAAATGGAACAAAACTGTTGTGTGACCAATTAGAGTAGAACCAGAAATACAGGAATTTATAGCCAACCTAATTATAGCCAACTACACACCAAAGATATGAAACCTGGGTATCCAAATATTTTTGTCTTTGTGGTCCTCTTAGTTCCTGACAATGAAGCCCTTACAACCGCATATAAACAATCGTATATCCCTGAAGTCAGTGGCATTCAAACCCAAATGTTTACTAACTCCTGGCAATTACAACAAATGCAGTTCCAGTTATACAAGACAACCCCCTTATAACTCTTGGTATTTCACAGGTTCAATTGTAATGTGATCGGGTTGTCTGACATTTTCTTAGCGGGTGAGAAGTGTCGCCAGTGGTGACCTGACAAACTAGAAGTTAGCCATTTCTCATTCCCTCCCTTGCCTCTTTCAAGACAAATCTCAAGACCCTCCTCTTCGACCGTGCCTTCGATCACCCTCCTTCCCCCCCTGCCCTCCACCCTCCCCAATTCCGACCCCCAGCTGGGGTCCGAAACACTGACTGTCCAGGGCCTTGGGACATCCTCCCGATGTGAAAGGTGCTTTGCAAATGTAATTTTGTTGTTGTAACGCTGGGCCTGAGACAATGGATTCAGATGGCTGTATTAGCAAGGGGTAGCCTGTAATCAGTGATGAGCTGTATCTTGAGTTTGTTTTCTACAGTGGGCAATACAGCAATAGTATTGCTGTGCACTGGAGCACAGTGAACACAATGCTAGAGTGGAGCTTACGGATATTAAGCTGGGTGGAAAGTCATTAGGTGAAGCGTAATGTCTCCCTGCAGGGGAAGGAATAAAAATCAGATGCTAGGAATCACTAGTGCCAGGTTGCTAATCAGATGTCTTCTGCCTGTCAACAAAAAAGCCTTTTAGCAATTGTAAGGAGGGGAATCGAGGATTGAATGGATATCATTAATGGTAAATAGTTCAGGAAAAAAATAATTGAACAAAGACTGGGTAAAAAAACCATGGAAAGATTTAAGGAGTAGTGCATAAAACGGTGGCAGAGACACTTGGCTGTCATTTCATTAATACTACGGCTAGATATTTGTCTGTAAGCCCTTCATACATTTTATTATTATAGCAGATGTAGAATTCTTAATAGTAAGAGATTTAGCCCAAAAAAGAAAAACAAGATTAACCCAGGAAGGGAAGAAGATCACAGGCATTAGATGACCTCGCTGACAATATCCTATAACAATCAGCTCACACTGCACACCCCATAGGATCTCATTAATTCACTCTGACTTACAGCAATTGCTTCATTTCAGATTGAAAGACACCGCAGAGAAGCATCATTTTTGATGAGAGATAAACATCTTAACATAGATGAAAATGGCAAAGAATATTAAAAATAGAGTGTTAAAAAGCTATGAGGGCTGGACAAAACAAGATAAGACAAATAAAAAATAAATCTAAATAAATGTGAAGAAGGCAAAAGGGGAATCAGTCTCATCTTAAAAGACTGCACAACTGAACTGCTTGTCACTTCATTAAACTCTGAACTCTAGGTTTCAGAGTTTAAAGGAGATCTGGTAAATCACTATTTAACAGATTACAGTAAAACTCACATAAGTTGTATCAGCTGGGACCGTTACATTGAATATGACTTACCAAAGTCTGAGTTACAGGCAAATTGTACAAGTCATTCAATGAAACCAGTAAGTTTGCATGCGGGAGCGGGTCAAGACGACGTTTCCTGCAATTCAATGCAGGCAGACGCTAAGTGTACGTGCATCGACGGATAAGGACGTCATTTCCCGTGATTCAATGCAGCTGGTAAGTGCGGGAGTAATGGAGGAAAAGGGGAGCGGCATTTTGAGTTTAGAAGGTGATTAATACAGCTCGAGCAAAGAAATCTAAGTGGAAATCCAAGCAAGGAAACAATGTGATTTGGACGCAGGTATGACTTTGGCAATGATACGATTTCTAAACATAAGACCTTATGCGGATTTTACTGCAGTAACATTTCCCACAGGAGGAATTCCTATCCCTTGCCATGTTGGAACCTGTGAATACATGGGTCAGACCTTACTCTATCAGACCAAGGAGTCAACCGTTACCACTTAAAGCAAGTAATGATTAATCATGCTACTGAATCACAATGAATGTTTCTGATTTGAAACCTGTACTTTTTTTTGTGGGATGAGGTGCTTTTGTAACAGTTCCAGATTTTAGGGTTGAAATTACTTATTAATAAGAAGCCTTTTATATTGCCACATCTTTTACTCTTAAAGCAGAATATTGTGCATAGGTATAAAACTATTTATATCCCTGCCACGAAAAGACCACAGGCACAGGTTTTGCATGAACCTGACCTCTCAAACCAAGTCTTTGTGATAAGAAACTACTTTTCCAAACAATGATTGAGAAAAATTAAATTGATCTCAAACTGGCTTTGAACACTTATAATAAAATATCAAATTGTATCAAATTTGTTCTTTCCCATTTTTAAAGAGATTATGCTCAGCGCGTCGTCACAGAGATGGCTTCTCTTTGAAGTATGGTCTTTACTTTGATCATTAACAAAGCTTCTCGTCAGTCGGAGTAGATTAGTTAGTTTATTAGAATAATTAGCACATACGTGGCTTCTTCACAGGTGATAGTGTGCAGGTATTCAATACTAATTTACTATTCAATTTATAAATACAGTACAACAGTTAGAGGGAAATTTTGTTTC